GTCATATGCCAAAAAGCTTTGATTTGGGATTTGGCTATGATCTAAACCAGATTGCAACAATTTCCTCCAATTCCAATTCCAAGGGGTTGAGCTCCATGAATCTTGTGAACAGAGACCCAACTGTTATTTCGGGGGAAGAAAACTCTGGGTCTGGTTCAGATGGCGCTTACTCTTCGACGGCGGGGCTACTGGGTTGCAATCAGAATGGGAGCAGCTGTTATGGTGAAGCTGAGGTGAAAGAGGCAGAGGAAACGAAAGAAGGGATATTGAATAAGGATGCGATTGCAATGATGGAAGAGAACGAAGTGCAAAAGCTTTCTGAGGAACTAATGGCGTACGAGAACATGATGAAATTCTATCAGATTCCCTATCTGGACGGGCAGTCCACAGCTACCCAGCAACCTCCAGCTCAGGAAGGCATGGTTGGTAATCTCTGGAGCTTCGATGACGAAGGCGTTTCTGCTCTGTAAATTAATGTTGTTGTAAATTTGGTCATTTGGTTGGTGTATTTTGATCATTATTGACTGTTGCTGATTAATTACGATTAGAGGCGTTGTTTCAGTTATTTAAATTGTGCCTAGTTATAAAACCTGCTTCTTCTTTTTTATGTTTTTGTACCCAAATCCAAATGTAACTCTGGACAAAATGTTTCAATTTGTTTATTGTTGTCATCCTCGTTTGTTATGTTTTTTTTTTGGTTATTGTTCTAACTTCAACAGGCTCGTTCATGGTGCACTTTCATTTCAGGAGTGCCATTCTATCATAATTAAAATATAATTAATTTTTTTTATATTTATCAAAAGAAAACATTTACAAAAAAAGAAATAAGTTCATGTAAATCCCAATTTTCTAACTGCGATATATAAATGTGCGTGTGATATGCGGGGAGCAATCTTTCCATCCACCAATTTTTTTGGAGAAAAAAAAAGAAGGAAGATAAAATATGGTGTTATTTTTTCCTTTCTATTGTGAAAGGAGAGAGAAAGCGACGTGGTGCGGGCTAGGTTAGGTGAATGCAAATGTAAAATTGGCAAGCAATTCGCTTGGCTTCGCAGCCGGTTTCTAATCCCAGCGGCGCTGCTGGTTTCCAATTTCCCAGTTTCGATATTTCCTAGGCTATGACCAATACAGCGACTGAGTCACTGAGGTGTGGCCGGTGGGCGCCTACAGATATTCTGCCTTCTCACTCAAAAACTTGTACTTCTTATGTTTTCTTGTACTACACTTACTGTTTCAGGGTCGGTGAACACGTGATGGGTTGAGTGGGACTTTCCTTTTTCATCATTGGGCCTGGACTTCTTCCACCTTAGAGGATTGGTCAGGATTTTAAACTCTGGATTGGTCAATCACAATTTGATAAGGACTGGGCTCTAGTTGTAACCCAAGCCCAACCAACCAATAAATTTTTGTTCCGTTGATGAACACTCGTTTGATAAGGACTTCTTCCTCATGTTGCTGAAAATACATGAAAATGGAAGGAACATGTAAATTAATTACTTGTATTTTTAATAACAAAGAATTATTATCAATTAAGTAACATATTACAGACAAAACCAGTGCATCATGATCATCCCGGAACTGTGGTCGTCTGAGACTGATTATTAGGAAATCTAAGCTGCAACTTTACATGATAAGTGGCATCACCATGGATACTCTGAGCAAAAACAGCTAGTCCTCTTGCAAAAGCAAACGACCCCGTTCCACCCATCACAGTAAGCTCTTCGGTGTCTTTCGGGGAGACATGCTTGGCCTCAACGCTTAGGCTACCTGAATACTGAGGCGTGTGAAAGGTGAGATAGATTATGTTGAAACCCGAGTTTGCAAACTGCTCTACTGGGATAATGAACCCTTGCGCTTTCCCCACCACCCGAGAAGTGTTCTCGGGTCCCTCTGTGAGCATGCGGTGGAAGATGAATGCTCCTCCGCCGTCTGATTGAGAAGATTGTGCCACATGATCATTATTATTATTGGAGCTTGTTGCATCAATAATATTAGGACTTTGTCGTTGCTGGATGTACAAGGAGAGGTCCAGCCATGGCGGTGATGGCTTTCTTTTAGGTAGTGGTGAAAAAGCCAGCAGAATTACTGCCAGGGTTGCCAACAGGACTGCACTGCAAAATATGATCCTGGCCAGCATCGTCACCGGCAGCATTCAGGCATTTCAAGTTTCAATGGGTCACTTTGAGCGGGGATATATGTTTCCATTTAACAAACTTTCTATTGTTGTTTAGGCCAACTAATCCCACTCACATTTGGGAGCTTCTTAACCAAATCAATATCATACAAGTGATGACTTATACGGTCAATGGATGGATGTCACTATTGTGAGCCATAAAGAACTTGATTGGTCTTTATTTGTTTTTTTTTATTTTCTACAAAATGATATTATAACTATTCTAATGTAGAGATGAAGTACCTTAAGCTTGAAAAAAAAAATTATATTGTGGAGGCTGCCACATATAGCCTTGTGTAGGTCCTCCAGAGCGCCATACTTTGGCTAACTGACATAACCCACATATATATAAAGAATAATGTTATTCATTAAGGAAATAAGCTCAACCACCATAACAAAAATAAATAAAGATAAAGGTAAAAAGTTCTTTGGATAAGCTAATTAAAATATTTAAAAAGCCAGCTAAGCCTAACCCAATTGCTGTATTGTTGGGCTGGACTACCAGCTACAAAGCCCAACTGAAACAATGCAGCAAAGCCCATTCAAAAGGAAACAAAGGCCTACGGCAGCAAATAAGGCCCACCTCACCACCCAGATTGGAAACCCTAGGTCTAAACTCTAAAGCGCATACCTGTGTGATATATAAAACCGTCTCTTCCACACAACTCAGCCTCTCTGCCATAGCAGCTGCCAAAACAAAAGGAGGTAAGACATGGTTTCGCTCAAGCTCCAGAAGAGGCTCGCCGCGAGCGTGCTCAAGTGTGGTCGCGGCAAGGTCTGGCTCGACCCCAATGAAGTCAGCGACATCTCCATGGCCAATTCTCGTACGCTCCCTTTCTTTTCATTTTCATTTTTTCATTTGTTTCTTTTGATCTGTATGCCATGCTTTGTCATCTGTTTGGTTTGTTTTTGTCTTTGTCTAAACCTGAGTTTATACACCGTATGGCTACTGATATATCGTGAAACCATATGAAACAAATACAGTTATGTTGTACGGATGTGATTTGAGTATCATGTTGAAGTTTCTAGGATTCTGTTAGCTGACCGAAGCTATGTTTGAGTGATGGTTGGTTTTATGTGTTTTACATTTAATATAGAGAATTGTTTAAGTCTATGAGCTGCGGACATCTATATCGAGCTTTAGCTTGATTGTTAACTTTGTATTTTCTCCAAATTAGTACTAAGTTGCATCGTGCGTAGTTCTTGAAAATATTTGGTGCTCGGAATTGTATTTGACGTATTTCAAGTTTAGGATATGAATTGGAAGTTTTTTTTACAGTGACATTCAATGCTTTAATCGTGTTTTTTTTGCATTTTGCCCTTGTGAGATGCTTATGAAATTAGTGCGACGGTTATGTTTGGGTGTTTTTGTATTGTTTATTGATGGCTTTGATTGTCAAATGCAGGCCAAAACATACGGAAGTTGGTCAAGGATGGTTTCATCATCAGGAAGCCAACCAAGATCCACTCTCGATCTCGTGCACGCCGCATGAAGGAGGCTAAGAGGAAGGGGCGTCACTCAGGGCATGGTAGGTCGATTATATGAGAGATGCACGTTTTGTTGTTTCGTTGATCATACTTATAGTTCATGGGCATGTCACATAGATTCCCATTTGTAGGTATGTACTAGTGTTTGCTTGTAGCAATACAAGGGAGGCAAGGCCTCTTTTGAATGGCTTCTTTATTGTTTGGTTGATCATACATTTTAATGAGTGGTTTCTGAATTTTTTAGGTAAGCGTAAGGGTACAAGGGAGGCAAGGCTTCCTACCAAGATCCTGTGGATGCGGAGGATGCGTGTGCTCAGGCGTTTGCTTCGCAAGTACAGGGAATCAAAGAAGATTGACAAACACATGTACCATGACATGTACATGAAGGTTAAGGGTAATGTTTTCAAGAATAAAAGAGTCCTCATGGAGAGTATCCACAAGTCAAAGGCTGAGAAGGCGAGAGAGAAGACTCTGTCTGATCAATTTGAGGCTAAGCGGGCAAAGAACAAGGCTAGCAGGGAAAGGAAACATGCTAGGAGGGAGGAACGCTTGGCTCAGGTATTGTTAAAACCTATATAATATATTAAGTGATGGGATGCTCTAGTTCTTTTTTTAAACATTTGATAGTATCATTTCCTAGAACTTTATTGAAAATAAAAGAGGCTCATGCTCAAGAGTTTGATCCTGTTTTTAGTGTACCTCACAAAAACTGACGATTATAATTTATTCACATTTCTGATTATTCTAAAATGTGTTCAGGGACCTGGAGAGAGAGCACCGCCAGCTGCTGAGCCAGCTGCTGTTGCACCATCTCAACCAACACAGTAAGTATAGTATGCTTCTTTGAGATCGTATAATGTATAGATATCGTTTTTGCTTATTTTACTGAATAATCTCTTTACTTGCAGGGGATCTAAGAAATCCAAGAAGTGAGTCCAATGAGAACTGATGGATTGATGACTCGTGATGATCCATTTGTCTCAAGTTACTTGGGTAGATTAGTTTTGACGAGCAAGTTTGTTTGTTTGTTTTGGACTTCAGTACTTTATTTCCTGGTTAAAAGAGATTTCAAAATCCTTGTACTCTGTATGAAGCTTAGTTTTCTTTTGTTATCCATTGATCGGTTTTGGTCTCGATCTACCTACTTATGTTTTGGGATTTCATATGAAAAGCTCGTATTCTAATTTCCATGGTGTTGTCCGATGCATTCCCATTTGTTTTGTTGTTTTGTGAGGGGTAAGCGAGGCTGTAGGCCTCTCTCAACCCGGAGTCGCACAGGGCCGTGAATAAGTGGATTGATGGATACGGTTGCGTTCATGATTAAACAGATTTAGCTACCTGATTTGTTTTAGAGAAGAAGATTTAGCAATAATTAAGAAGTATCGTTGAATCCCATTAATGCGTCTTATCTTGTATGTTTGATGGCATAATGGGCGACCTTTCGGGCTAAAGAGCTCAAATTAAAGAAGAAAAGGCAAAAACCAGAATGTTTTACAACCTCGATTAACATCCTAAATCCCCAACGTGCTAAAATGTCAAACATGTACGACCATCGGCTTTCAAACACTTCTTTGATAGCGTGGATTTGATGAGGTGTAACAACCATCCCTAAAGCTGAAGGTTGGTCTGTGCGCAATGAGATCTCCACTGCCATAATTTGGTTGTGGTTGTGGTAGTGGTTGAGGTGCCATTTGGTGTGCTGCTGTTGTATCACAAGGATTGTCGCATATCCCAAGCTTGACAATGAATGCAACAATGCTCCCTTTGTCAATGCCCTCACTCTCAATCCAGATGTGACCTCCCATGGTGTTTACAAACCTAATCCAGTCATTTCACATGGTAAGTTGATAAAGTTGAATGAATAAGAAATGAACCAAAAGCACCACCCTACTTGACAACACCAATTATTATTATTAATTTTTTATTTATCAGATTCATATCTTTTTTCAATTGCACTATGGAAATGGTGAAAAGTCAGAAATTTTTTACTCTACCGTCTACAAATGGCAAGTCCAAGTCCAGCACCATCATTTATTCGATTGGATCCACTTCTGGGCTGAGAAAATTTGGTGAAAAGATAAGGAATATCTTGTGGGAGAATACCACAGCCAGAATCCTTAACCTGCAACACCGGGAATACCATTAGATCACATTTACAAGATTGTTGAAGTTTATAGTACTGCAATGCAATCAAAATTGCGCTGGTCCATAATGTACAACATACTAAGAGATGCCTCCAACCTCAGCATACAAAATGCAATACTAACACAAGCTAAACAAAGATTAAATGCAGTCATTGACCTGAACTCGCAGGTAAAAGTGGCCATCAGTGGATGCTGGATAAAATTCAGGTGGTCGCCAGTCTCTTGAAGATTCCGGTTTTGCCACAGATGCTACAATTGAAATATATCCCTCCTTTGTAAACTTCACAGCATTACCAGCAACATTTAGAATAGTTTGCATAAGCCGATTCTCATCTCCAACAGCACAAACAGGTAGATCTGGGGATAGAATCAAACTCATAGACAACTTCTTCACAGATGTGATGGGCTGTATCAAATTGATTACCTACAGTTTCAAAATGGTTGCATGTAAGTTCACCAAAAACCAAAGTACTTGAAAGTACACATTGAAGCCCTAATCCGGAAAATGTACCTCTCTGAAAACTCCATGGAGGTTAAACTTTCTAATGTCTAACTCTAGGCTGCCATCTTCAAGTCTAGAAAGATCAAGAACGTCATTAATAAGTGTTTCCAAAAGGTTGCTACTCTTTAGTACTGTCTCTATCATAACTCTTTGTTCTGAATTCAGTTCCGTCTCTAACAGAAGAGAAGACAGTGCAATAATTGCATGCATTGGTGTCCTCATTTCATGGTTCATGACAGCAAGGAAATCGTTGCGAGCATGGATTGCCATCTCTGCTTCTCTCCGTGCTAAATCTAAAGCAATGTTCTGCTCCATGAGCTGATCACGGGCTCGCATGGACTCTTCCAGAATAGCAGCATGTGAAAGAGCAACAGCTACCTGTATGACATATTAAAATTAAATTCATGACTGTAAAAGACCTAGCCCACCCAATCTTACAACTCTTGACCACCTTAGCAGAGGGCCGAGGACAACTAAACTCTTGTTACAACCTTTAGCATGCACGTAGGAATCAGAAGGAAGACAAGTGATATATCAGTTATTTTAGCCTGATCAATGAAAAGAAAAAAACAAATGAGCAATAGAAGACACCTGATCTGCAACAACATCAACCAGTTCCAGTTCATGGTCTCGCCACTTTCTGGTGCTATCTGTGGGTAGAATCAGAACCATGATTGCGTAGCTTTTGGCAGAGAGATCAGGCCAGTCATTGATTTGGAAATTCGAAAGATTTAATAGGGGTACCCGCAGAGCAACAACCTCAGGTGGAACATATCTCCCGACAAGTGGTCTGATCCTGGCCAGTGGGCAGGTGTATGGTATACGAATTGCTCGAGAACTAGTGAAGACTTCATTGACTACAGGAAGGTTTATTGGCACAGTAGAGCCAACTTGTATTTGATAGTTCAGAGTATGAGAAAGCTGTAGGTTCATACCAGTTCTGGACGGCATCCACAAAGCACATTCCTGGAGGCCTAAAGTCCTACCCAGCTCAACAAGAGTGGTTTTGAGTATAGTGTGCCTGTCCAATGTGCTTCTAATTTCATGAGTGAGCATTCTAACATGCCTTCCTGTTTCTTCCTGAGTTAGCATACGGCCCATCTCCCTGTCAAGCTCTTCAGCCTTGTTTTTGAGAAACAGCTCCCGAGTTTTGACGCTTAGTAAATCCGGAATAATATGAACAAGCATTAAAGCAGTAGCACATGATACAACAGCACAGGAAACCTTTGCAACAGTCATGACCACAGCAACAGTTTTGGAGTGCATATAGAATGTCCAGACATTTATGAAATGGGTTGCTCCACAAAGAACAATAAAAGCACCAAACTGCATGAGCACCCATCTATATGGGAAGAAAGAGGATTTGTGCACAAAATATATAAGCTCCAAGGGAATGGAGAAATAGGCGAGGGCAATAAAGACATCAGAGATGTACTGATATTTCACCAGAAGCTCATCAGGGGGCCATTGTGCGTCTATGCAATCACAGGAATCCATTCTCCAACTGCTGTTCTAATGAATCTGAGAACTTCACAGAATTCAAAAACAATAACAAAAAGAAATGAGTCAACTAAACTGACATATAATGACATATGACCCTTCGGGTGAAATCTTGCAATTTATATTTTTCTGGTTATAAAAAGAAAAAAATTGCATTTTCATTTCATCAAACACCGTAGTTTAAGTTTTCCTTCCCTGGAAGCAATACTTATCAAAACAAAGAGAAGCTGAGGAACTAATAATCCCTCTCTATTTTCCTTACATTTGTTCAAATCCAGATTCCAGACAAATTAACATGCTTGAAACTAATTTTTTGCAATGATCTTTAATCTGGCAATGACTTTGACAATGCTTAAAGGTGCCAAAGAGATTTTCACTCCAGTGTCAGAGATGCAATCAAACAAGGCCAATAATAAGAGTAATCTGTTCGCAGTTCATATACAAAAAAGAAAGAGATTCTAATTATATTATTACCAAACTTGAGGCTTGACGACAAAGACAAAGTGAGGGTGAGAGATCAACTGTAGAACTTTGAAGGAGTGATCTGAGTAGGAGCTGAGTTTCTGAAACAGAAAAGCGTTTCAATTTTCATGGTCAGGAAGAGGAAGATGAACAGTAAAAAAGTGAAGAAAAAGGGAAGGGTAGGATGAGTAAAGTGGAGGAAGAAAGACCGGGACAGTACGCACGCAGACTCAGAAAGCCAAAAAGCGTCACGGACAAACAACGCCACGCACCAAATTTTTTTTTTTTTCCTCAGTACGCCACGCACCAATTCAATAATACAGGAATACGACTATACAAGGGTGCGAAAGACTCATTTGGAACTTAGATTTTCTTTTTTCTTTTCTTTTTCTTTTCCTCCTTAAACAAAATACGAGAAAAACAAAAAGATATATTGGCATCGAGCTCGCACTGCACGCCTGATTTATGCTCATAATCCAATCTTTTAAAATACAAATTAATTTTTACGACAAATGTGAATTAGATCAATTAATCAAAGCATTGAGTTTACTTTTTTGAACCTAGATTCTAATTTTCTTTTCCGTAAATTAAATTAATTGTTGTGCTTGATTGTCTCGGCCGCTTCCCAAATCAGGAAACTTGATTAAATTTTGCCCATAATTTATTATTATTAATAATGTAGTAAAATTGTTAAAGTAAGGCTGGACATCCACATATTGAAATTTCAACTGATAAAATAAATAAATAAAATTAAAAAGAAGTGATAAAGATGTGTTGGTTGGAAGGATCACAGTCCCAAAGAGACAAGCAGATGGTAGTTTGGTAATGGTAGGTCCTTCCCTGTCCCCAATTTCTAAAACAGCAGAGTATTGTATTTCAAATGTAGGACCCACCACCAATCTATTATAGAAGAAGGTGCATTGCATTTGGAAGATGGGCGATGTCATGCTGCAGTTGCAGATAGTAGAGGGTTGAACGCCTCAAGAATGAAAAAGTTCTGGTCTTCCAGAGATAAACTTTCTTATCAAAGGGTCGTTGTGGACTGTTAACCAAGTTATATATAGACATTTATAAAGAAATAAACCAGAATGAGAATGGTAAAAGTAGATTAATTACACCTACATATAACAAGTAAAATTTTTACTTCATTTTATTCTGCGGGGTGAGTTTCTCAATACACTGTATTGTTACAAAAATTTGTGAAGGCATTCTCCTCCTCTGTGACCCAGTTGGCGGCAGTTTTTGTCAACAAAATTAACCCAAATAACAAAACCTCCACCACTATATCGTTCGTAAACGTTATGAATTACATACATCACTTTTAATCCTTATTTCACCCGGGGAGACAATGCAAAGATGAATCATAAAGGCAATTCATGCCGGAAAATCAATTTTCAACAGCTTCTAAACCTGTCTCTGTCAGTCAGTCAGTCAGTCAGATGGGCCAATCATCTTCTCAGGCACCACAAGTGTATCAAATTCTTCACTGGTTAGCACTCCAAGTTTCAATGCAGCTTCCTGCAGAGTTGTTTGTTACAGCTTTGTTAGATTCAATATTTCAACTATATAAATATGCAAAGGACTCAAAGTAGCTATGATGCCAAATCAACTCTCTACAAACTTGTGTGAATGCATTGCATTTATTTCATTCCTTCCTACTGATTCAGCCTATGCTCAAACATGGTTTGATACAACATCAGCCAGAATTTTCCAGTACTTGAATTTAAGCTAGCCATCTGGCCAGAATAAATAATTTCATTACTTCTGAACACCTAAATTCCCACCAAACTAGACCCAGTACTGTGGAACAGAACAGATTATCACTTAGACAAGGAAGCAATGATTACCTTCAAAGTGGATCCCTCCTTGTGGGCTTTCTTTGCAACTGCCGCAGCATTGTCATAACCAATTTTCTGAAAAAGAAGCAGAAATATAAGTCTGACTCAAATCAAAGGTACACAAGGAAAATGTAGACATGAATGGGTGGAAACTTACAGGATTCAACGATGTGACCAACATTAGTGACTGCAAACCCATGCATTTTCCATACAGAAAGAGCATAAAATTAATTAGCCATGGGGTCTAGATACGGAATACTAAAAAGTTCTATATTCTTCATCGATTCCTTTTACACAGTTCTTTTCAAAGGAAGCTGATGCATCCCCAAGCAATCTCACAGACTGCCAGTAAAGAGTTAAGAAAACACCAGCTCAATGAACAAGTGCATGTATTTAGCAATATAACAGAACAAGAGACTCCAAACTCAATAAATCATAATGCATCCACGTATGTGAAAATGCTTTACAAAAATATCGTACCCACCAAATTACATTCCAATTCCAGTATCCACATCTTGAGAAGAATCACATTTGGTTCTTTCTCAATTTTAACACATAATGTGCACATAATATTCCAAATCTTCAAACAGATTCTATCATAACTCTTTTGCATTTCTTCCAAAGGTGAACTTCCAGACTAGTGACTTTTCTTAACGAAGCACTATCTACTGGCAAGAAATGTGTGTACCTAGTTGCTACCAGTTTTACTTCTGAAATCTCTGTACATACAACATTTGAAGAACAAATCATAACAATATTACAACAGAACGTACATGTAGGAGACCACTAGCAATCATTGGCTTGAATACATTAAGTTCAAAGTGACCATTTGATCCACCTACTGTAATGGCCACATGGTTACCAAAAACCTGCACAACATACAAAAAATTAAAATACCATTTCGTAATGAGAAATACTTTAAATAGCAGGATTACAATATCCTAACATCATACAACAACTTACTAATGACTTCCCAATTGTTCATATTATCTTGATGAAACAGAACAGGAGACACTTTACCTGAGCACAGACCATTGTGAGAGCCTCACACTGAGTAGGGTTAACCTTCCCCTGAAACAGGATAAACTCAGTCAAGATGTCAAGTTTAGTGGGACTTAATTTGTACAAAAAGCTAGTTACAGGTTTTGGGCTATTCAGTCAAACATATGTTGGGCAAGATATGAGAGTTTTACAGGCATAATGCTGCTGCCAGGCTCGTTTTCAGGGAGAATGAGTTCACCAAGGCCGCAACGTGGACCGCTATACAAGAAAAGCAACGTGAAGTTCTTACAACAAGGGTACAAGGAGTGATGAAGAAAAAGCAGGTGAGGTCCAAATAGTAGACTAACCTTCCTAATAAACGTATGTCATTTGCAATTTTCATCAGAGAAGTAGCAACTGTATTTAGGGCTCCGCTAGTTTCAACAAAAGCATCATGTGCAGCCTGGCGGAAACAAGTAACGTACAGCATGAAATATTAGTTTGTTGTGTACGATGAAAAAATATGTACCAACTGCTCCATCAAGTTAAATGTCCATTCCACTAGAAGAAGAAGAGAAGATATCATTTAGTGTAGCTACGAACCAAAGCTTCAAACTTGTTTTCGGCGGTGACAAATGGTAAGTTTGTTTCCTCAGCTACTGCCGCAGCTATCTTTACATCAAATCTAGATTATGACAGGAAAATTACCACTGTCAGTTTCACACAATGTGGATCACCCTGGACCACTGAAGAAGAAATTGCTCATTTAAAATATGGGAGACGACGAAATAAATGCAAATGCCAAAACACAAGAAATTTACAACGAAAGGTATAATCTTTTCAAGTTTTAGTAATAAAATACAGAGCATACATCTTTCTATCTGATACTAATTCAGGAGTAATAAATAGGCAAAGGAATGGTGAATAAGATGACCTATTGAAGAAACTTAAATCTTGAAATATCGGTGCAGGAAAAAGAAAAAAGATGAATTGAAATGAAACCAGGACTCCCATAATCAAAATCACATTTTAACACGAATGCAGACAAATGTAAAATGATAAAAACAAGGAAAAACAAAACCCAAATATTCTTCAACCTTAAGGCTATTCATACCCCTTCTTTGTGTTCAATCCAGTCCCAACAGCAGTACCACCCTGTGCAAGCTGCTCAGACAAAATTACCAATCAGTCAGAATATTTAAAAGAAAAAAATAAAAGGGGAGGAAAAGCAACTGACAGTCATGAGTTGCCAACCTGATACATGCGGGGTAGGGTGCACAAGACTCGGTCAATTCCATACTTCACCTGCAGCCGAAGGAAAAGGCTTTTGATAAACAAGATATCAAGCATGGCCTATCCTCATAACAAGATGGGCATGACGCAATAGTGAAACAATATCTACAAGAGTAATGTAAGCTCACTTGTGTTGAATAGCCACTGAATTCTTGCCCAAGAGTCAAAGGTGTCGCATCTTGTGTGTGAGTGCGTCCAATTTTAACAATATCTTTGAATTCATCTGACTGGTCATATTAAAACAGATGGAATCAATAACAAGTTTTGATCCCTTCATGGGAAAATAATTCAGATACATGAAATATCTATCTGCTTTTAAAGGGCACCCAAAGAAATCAAACCTTTGAATGTAGAGAAGTATGCAATGTTTTCAAATTTGGTATTAGTCTTGAATTAATTTCCATTGCAGACGCAATGTGCATGACCTGTAAATAACACACAGCGTTTCAATAAACCACAAGACAGGAAACAAAAATTACAAAAAGAAAAGAAAAGAAAGGCTTACAGTTGGAAAAGTGTCATTAGAAGACTGTGATCTATTGACATGGTCATTTGGGTGGACAATCTTTTCACCACGCTTATGGCCAAGTATCTCAGCTGCTCTGTTCGCAATGACCTGGGCACAGTCCAATAGTACCCCATAAATCAACGTATACAAGTAAGATAACCATGACAATACTTTCATGAACCGATGCTAACCTCATTGGCATTCATGTTACTTTGGGTTCCACTGCCAGTTTGCCATACAACAAGTGGAAAGTGCTGGTTTAGCTTTCCCTCGGCGACTTCTTGGGCAGCTTGCATTATTGCTTTGCCTATAGTTGGATCAAGACCATACTCCATGTTCACCTGCAGTCAGGCAATACAACAAACACGTTATAGGTGTCTATCCCAATCCCACTCCGCAAATCCAAAAAACAAAAGATAAAAGTTCAAACCTTGGCAGCACATTTTTTGAGTACGCCAAAGGCGCGAACAATAGGTTCGGGCATTCGTTCACGCTCGCCGCCGATATCGAAATTCTGCAACGATCTTTGAGTTTGCGCCCCCCACAACCTGAAAAAAAAAAAATTACGTATTAAATAAATAAATCCCTTCGAATTAAACAAGGAAATGAAACAAATGCTGAGAACAGAGAAAGACGAACTTGTCTGAGGGAACGAGAATGGGTCCAAAGGTGTCTCTTTCCTCTCTAAACGCCGTCGAATAGGGTCTCCAACAAGTAGCATAACGGAACGCCGTTGACGGCGTCGATCCACCTACTACTCGCCGTGATATGATGTACATCGCCATAAGCAGGAGCTTGAGCTGGAAAACGAGGCAGGAGGCGGTTTGGGGTTAAACGAGTCAGTGATCGGAGTGATGAAGGGCCAGAGATGATAGAGAGAGCGAGCGAAGTAGGGAATGGAAGTTGAGTCCAAATGATTGGGCGGCGTGCCAGAAAGTGGGATGCTTTAGGACTGGTTTTTTTATATATAAAAAATTCATGTAACAAACCCAACTGTCTGTTTCAAGTTTCAACTTTGATGTCCTCATGTGACTGCGCCGGGCCTCAAAGCCTTTTCTCATGTCAATTTAAGCTCAAGCACTTTGACATACTATGGGCTTCCATAAAAGTTTGAGCCCATGAAAGTCCCAATTTGGTACATTAGTTGGCTCATATGGGGCAGTCCAAGATGCATATTGCCCAATAAGGAACTATTGTCCTGTCCTGTCCTGTGTGCGCAGCTAGGGTTTGATCGTCTAATAATAGTTGTGCAATTAATCTGATAGCTATGAAGGACCCCTCGTGCTATAACATTAACCCCTCATTACAGTCTCTATGTAATTGTTTTGGGTTTGGTTTTGTGTTGGTAGCTGGAATTTTGGTTGTTGGGTTCCAATTCCCATTCGGACTTTAGCTTGGAAGCAAGCAAGCAACCAATTTGAGTACTTCTATACTCATATTCATTAGGAAATAAAAGGTCTTGTCTTGGTATATATATACACATAGATTTCTTCACAGCAGAGTTCCAGAGTGAGATTGAAACCTGAGATGAGAGCGTGCAAGATTTTTGGCTAAGAAAGAAGTAACTTTTTCAATAAGTGGATCCCATCAGGTACAACTGGTACGAGGCCGGACCCCTCTCCCTGCAGTCTTGTTGCAGATCTGCTGCTGCTGCTCAGGAACGCTCACACTCACTCCACATAATGAGTGACAGACATTTACACAACTGGGCTCCATTTCAACGATGATCAAAGCAAAAGTTACGGTCTTTGAAATTAACTCCTCATAATGAACCAAAACCAAACCAACCAACCAACCAACCACATGACCCATGTGTTGCAATTTGTTCCTCTCAGTCATCCTCACTCAGCTGAGGCCAGGGGCCACTACTAGCACTCACTCACTATTGAGTATATACATATACAACACAACAGCCACATTAATTTGTTCCACTTCCACTTGAGAAACAAAAAAGAAAAAGAAAAAGAAAAAGCTTTCAATGAGATTAATTTGGTGGTGTAAAGTGTAGAGCTCGCTGCTTTACCTAATTATGTTAATTTGTTCATGTCGTTATGTGAATTGATTATGATATACGTATCATGTAGTGGCTGTCTGGCCGTTTCTAGTTAGCAGCCAAACATGAAAATTGTGGGTGGCACTGGCAGCTGGCTTTCTTTGTTATGCCATGCTCCTCCACAGACACAGTCCACTGCCGCGGGTTCCCCATGTGATTGTCTCCTTTAACCAAGGTTGTTTTGGTCAATACACTTGAATTAAAATCACTAGAACTAGAAGCACTTATCCTATGTATGTATCACTAGTTATCCTGTCCTACTACTAATCAGATAAGACAAGCTCTGGCTTGCCTTCTACCAATTCGAAGCCAACTTGACAACTGTGATTCATGTAACTATACGTAACATGGTTGGCAAATTAATGAATTCATGATCCAGTAGCAGCAGCAGCTCCGCAACAGTTGGCGTCGCAGATTTTTGGTAAAACAATGTGACCGTCCGTGCGAGGAACGAGAGAGAGCACAAGGAGGTAAGGTAAAAGGAAGGGAAGAAAGGGTTGAGTTGAGTTGGCCCACTGATGACGGCACAAGTGGTTGGGATCTGGCGCTTTGGCATACTTGGGTGACGCTAGCCTTGCAAAATTTCAATGTCGACACATCAATGACATGGTCCCTTCGCCCCCACGCCACTAGTCTCTCTTCGCATGCCATGGCAAGTCCCCTGCCTCCTGCCTGCCTTCATTGTTCATTACATGAACAAACCTTTGTTTATTCTTTCTGTTGTTGTCATTAAACATTTAAGTAATTAATTACAAAGATTTTTATTTTCACTCTGTTTCTCTTGATTTTATGTTTGTGATTGATTGAGGCTTCGGTGCCAAAATTGTTTGTGTCGGCAAGACATGATTCTATGTTGGGAATTGTGTTGTAGATGGTAATTTTGTTTGTGAAGATTGCTTTTTTATTGTCAAGGATTTCCTAAAATATTATTCAAATTGCACTTTCCAACTTTGATGCGTCGAAATTGCTTTTTATTGTCATGCAAAATGGAAATCAAGCAGCTGGCTTTTTCTTTTTTAGCTGTCGCTTTCTCTCACCCCCGTTTGTTTTTCTTCTCTTTTTGTTTTCATGTACATCAGTGCCATTTTATAACACAAGCCTCTTACTTGTTCTTTTTTCCCTTCTCTTCCTCTCCTCCTCCTCCTCCTCCTCCTCCTTCTTCTTCCTTGGTTTCCTGACTGGGGTTTTGTTTTAGAGAGCCTGCTGCTGCTGTCTGAATTTGGTTCATTGCTGCTAAGTGGAAGAGTAAAGACTCATGAAAAGGCTAGTAAGTACGTTGGTTTGATATCTAGTATTTGATTCATAAATATATTTACTGGTTTTTTATCTTCACCATCTGTGTGTCTGCGAAAAATTCTCTCTTTTCCTCTCTCTTAGGCTTTTTGATCTAAAGATTGTATATGGGATTTACATTGGATGTTTGGCAATGTAAACTAGCTAATAGGTACGTGAACATCTGATATGAGATTATCGAATTTTTAAACCGCCATTGCATCATCACCAAAAAGTAAAAAATAAATAAAAAGCTACAGACAAACATTCGAACTACACCAGGAAAAAAAATATAGAAAAGTATCTCAGACATCAGCAGAAAGCACAATCTTAACACAAGATACGGTCTCCTACAGAGGGACACATTTTCAAGAGCAGAAACTGAAAGCCCAGTTTTTATTTATGAATTCATAATTCTTAGATTGCCTCTTGCTTTACCTGCATTCATTGTAGAATAGGGGTATAAATCTTGTTTTCCCCGGCTCGCATGCATCTCTTTTACTTCAAGTCTTTTCACCCAGTAAGTTTATGTTGTATCTCTTTTACTCTCGTATTCTCTTTCAATTTAGTGTTGTTTTGGTGTTCAACCAAGTCTGTTGCAGTATTTTTGTATCTTATGTGCAATGAGATAACCAAATGTAAGGCATTTTCTGTTCTTTTACCATGATGTTATTGATATACAATATACATGCATCCTATATTAACATTTCGGTTCTTGCGAATGGGGTGACGGGTAGGCATCTCAAACTTCCCAGTAACCTTTATTTCTTCTGTTTTCCTATTTTTCAGTTGGCTCTGGTTCTGTTTCTGGCATTTAGTAGTGCTGTTCAGTACAATGGAGAAGGAAAGAATGGACAATGTGAAAACAAGAAGTCTTTGGATCCCAGACCTCACAGCGTGTCACTCTTGGAGTTTGGGGCAGTTGGAGATGGGAAAACATTGAACACGGTAGCCTTTCAAAATGCTATTTTCTATGTCAAGTCATTTGCTGACAAGGGTGGTGCTCAGCTCTATGTTCCGCCTGGCAGCTGGCTTACTGGAAGTTTTAACCTTACCAGCCACCTCACACTCTTCCTGGAAGCAGGTGCCATCATTCTTGGATCCCAGGTTCACATAAAACACAAATTTTTCTCTGCTTTGATCTAAAAGAATCATTCTTACTTTTAATAATAATAATAATAATAACAATAACAAGAGTGTATAAGACTCAGTGTTGGCAATGGTTATGCAGGATTACACTCACTGGGATATTGTGAAACCTCTACCTTCTTATGGTCGAGGGATTGACTTGCCTGGTTGGAGATATCGTAGCTTGATCAACGGACACAATTTAAGTGATGTGGTGATAACAGGTGAGGATATTCGTGCATAAATAGTTGTCTGTTGAGATGCATCCAAGTTCTGCCTTCCTCATGTAACTCTTCCACATTCAATAAATTTTACCAGGTGATAATGGAACCATTGATGGACAAGGTTCTGTCTGGTGGGAGCAATTTAGCTCTCATGCCTTGAATTACAGCCGACCACATCTAGTGGAATTCACCGGGTGTGATAATGTCACTATATCAAATTTAACCCTCCTGAACTCCCCCGCTTGGAACATTCATCCGGCGTACTGCAGGTACTGCTGGTAGCTTTTTAGGTCAATGTCACATTTCTTGTGTGTTCAACTGAACTGATATTGTTGATTATATGTTAAAATAATACAGGTATGTGCAAGTTCTGAACATAACTGTTCATGCTTCTCCTGCATCTCCATATACTAGTGGTATAGTCCCAGGTGTGTCAAACATTACTTTTCAGACCATTTATCTATTACTGCTTTATCTTTTCTGCGTTCCTCTCCCTGATCAATCTGTGTAGTTATTTATTTAGAGATTCAGCCCCTCATTGATGAGAAATGTATAGGTTCTTAGTTAATTTTTTTTTTCTCTATGCTGAAGTTCTTGCATAGTTTTTATGAAAAGTTTGAAGAGCCTAAATATCTTTTGCAACGTGTGTATAACCGTGACTTCAGATTCTTCGGAGAATGTTTGCGGTTGGGATGAGTATGGAATTGCCTATGGCAAACCCACCAAAAATGTGCATATCCGGGGTGTTAACCTTCAATCCTCTTTAGGCGCTGGCCTGGCATTTGGCAGTGAGATGTCTGGAGGCATATCGAACATACTTGTAGAGCAGCTTCATCTACGTAACTCATTCATTGGCATTGCACTCAAGACATCTAGGGGAAGAGGAGGTTATATGAAGGACATAATTATATCCAATGTCGAAATGGAAAATATTCACTTGGCAATGGAGGCTACAGGTCAGAGTGGCTCACACCCTGATGAAAAATTTGATCCTGATGAACTGCCATTTGTTAAAGGAGTCACCTTTGAGAATATGGTCGGCACTAATATCACTTTTGCTGGGAATTTTTCTGGACTCGACAAATCGCCTTTCACATCTATCTGTCTCTCAAATATCTCATTCTCCATCACTTGGAATTCTTCTTCCTCATGGTTCTGTTCCAATGTGATGGGTTTTTCAAAGGAGGTGTCTCCTAAACCATGTTCAAACCTCCAGGACTCAACTTTTAACTCTTCCGCGGCTTGCTTCTTTTCCTTATACCCATTCAACTACGCTACAGTTTTGTGAGATCATCATCAAAAAGACAAAATACCCGTTCTGTTCAATCTGTACATGAGATACCGTTTATGCAGGAGATTTTCCAATAAAGCTCCAATTTATAATCTTCCGTCTCTTCTCATACGAACAAGCATTCTCTGCCTTGCTACGAGATCTTCCGAAGTGGTGTGTCATCCTGATAATACAGGCTCATGTAGAACCTCATTTTTTCATTCGTGTGCAAGGAAATTTTGGTAGTGCAGTGCAACTCAGATAGCTATTGCTTCCATTGTTTTATTTTATTTTGGAATATCTTTAGTTACAATGTAAATTCATGTAATGTGGACTGATGCCAGATTAATCATTGATATTCTGGCAAAGAGAGGGTGTTAAGTTAAGTGACTGATGTGATTGAAATAATGAGTAATTGAAAAGGTTGATGTCCTGCTGATTAAGTCTGAGTTTGGTTATTTTCTGTCCTGGGCCCCTGGCTGCTTATACAAGGATCAATTTCCACCCGTCGTTTTCTTCATTCTTGGTATACGACATTATTTCTTACTTTGTCCCCACTTCCTTGACTTTGAAACATCAAACAGGCATTGACATTGTGTAGCAGATGAAAATGAACCATTAATTAACCTTATGTAACTATGGCTGTTGGTTTATAATATTTCACATGTCCATATATTTCAAAGACTACAACCAAAGACTCGATGAAAAGAAGAGAGACGGGTGGATATGAATGGCGAGAAGAAAATATGTCTTGACTCTTGAGGCTGCAGCTATTCGTAGGCACCGGGACTTTCGAAGAGGTAAGCTTCAACAACCTTGTACATGCCCATTGCTCTTTCTTTGCCACCCCTGATTTCTTCCTCATTGATCTCAAAGTCACCAGCAGCCTGGTACTCACTCATCATCTTGCAAGTACAACCACCATTAGGAGAAGCCTCAAACCTCACCTCATAAGTAATAGACTTAATCTTGTCCTCCAACACGTCTCCTTCAATCAGTGTGTACTTGCACACCAAATTCTCGACGTCCAGGATGTCTATTCTGTTCTTCATGTACTTGTAACGAGTACCTGCATATCATGCATATGTTATTGAATTAAACATGACAGAGAAATGTGATTGATGATTTTAAATAAAGTCGACATGTGTGGTTAATTTATTAATTACCCTCAGCAAAATTGATCTGCTTGATGCTTCCTTCGCCTCCATCGCCGTGGATGATTTCGATGCTCTTAATGGCCTGAGGCATGAGCTTGGGGATGAGGTTGTGGGAGTCTAGGATCAAGGCCTTGAACAACCTGGCCGCTGCTACTGGACTGGCAAATTCCTGGCTTAAACTGATGGCCGCCATGTTATCTAGTCTCTTGCTTGCTGATATGAAAATGATGAGACTTGAGAGGTGAGGTTGGTTGGGGTTGAGAATTGGCTGGCTCAATGGGGGGGAAGTTTATGTCAATCTTTATAGATTGGAATATGTCATCATCACACACACACTAAATTCAGCATATCCTATGGCCTCCAAAAATGAATTAACCTTACCTACTATAAGTCGTGGATTTGGAACACAAAATTTGACCACAGAGAAATTCTTTTGGGTATATCACTATAAGGTTATGAATTATATAATCATAATTTTGCATGTGAACGATATGAAAACTTCTCTGCTTCAAAAAGATATCTCTATTATTGTTGCTGTTACAATCATCAACGTTTAATTTATTTAAGAATCAACCAACTCTTCTTGTCGTTAGTTGATAGATTATAGATAGGAAAAGAAGCATCTAAATCATTTTTTTTAATTTAAAAAATTTAACGCACCAACTTGTTTAGATAGATATCAGATAAAAGAATTGAATCTTTGCTTAATGTTAGTGTGATTAATTAAGTGTTTTGGTTTCCTTGGTGATCGTTAATACAATAACTGGAACCATAAAATTTGTACAAAGAAAGTTTTATAAATTTATAAACAGAATTATCCGTCATCCAAACCAAGTCTGGCAGTATTTGTCTACACAACTCACTCTTAAATTTACAAGCAACTGGATTTATTGCTGCACTTAACTGTATATAAAACTTACAATATTTTTCCTTTTCGGAAAAAAAAATGAAGAAAATAGTAAAATCTCTCTCTCTCTCTCTCTCTCTCTCTCTCTCTGTAACAAAATCAAAGAAATCACTACGAAAAAAAAATAATATTTGAATCACCCTCTCTCAACGTGTTAAGTTAACACCTCTACTTTCTATTCCCAGCTTTGCGTTTCATCTCAGCTGGAGCTGGCTGCCTTGCAATCCTATGTGGCACCCCATTCAAAGGTTTCCGTGAAGGTGAAGGGCCTAGAGAAGAAGGATTAAAGCTCTTGCTGCAGAAATCATTAGCAAGTTTTTAGGAAGCTGATTATATAAACTCACTACACGGCATGTAAAAATGCATAACAGAAGGCCAAGTTCAAAATTTACCTTAGATCTGGGCTTTTCACTTGCTTTGCATTAGATTTCTTGGTCTTTGACCCAATGCCATTGCCCATGTTAGTAAGTTTAGTTTGATTGAATTGCCAGAGCAGATCTGGCTCTGAAGAGTCACTGGTGGCAGCATCAAGATCATCCATGTCATCTGTACTAGCGACATTGAACCCGTTGCTTCCCATGAACATATTGTACGACTGTTCTGGATAAACCTTGGAAGAATCCTGGAGATATTTCTGGTAGAAAACATCAGATAAATTCCCATTGTCTGCTCCCCAGCATCCTAAAGGATTTCGAGCTCTGCTTGCTGCTTCTTGCTTGTTCACCATAACCTTATCCACCCACTCACCCGAGCCCATGTCTTTATCATCCTCCCCATAATTCTGGCTAGGACTTTCAGCTGGGGGCCAGGGAGGTGAATTCACTAGTAGCTCATCAAGATCAAAGCTCTCTCTTTTTTGCCTTGAGGCCGAATTGTTGTGGGGCTACAAAACCAGTACATCAAGCGACAACGCTAAGTTCACAACACTAGAACATACTAATTGAATGGTTGCTAAAATTAATCTAGGGCAAGGGACTAGAAACCCCATAATTCAAATGTCTCTTGGTATCCAAGAGCCATAAGGCATCAAACTCAAATTTTGGCTAGAAATCTACTGACAGTTATAAAATGATGGCTTCCTTCCGAATCACAACCAAAAAGTAAAATTTACCTCAGTGATCACTACATTGCCCATTGGTTGCCGGCAGCCAATCTGATTGCCTAGCATGTCTGTACCCTGATGTTTGGAATGAAAAGGTGACAATTCACTAGCTTTTGTCCTATATTTATCGGAACCACCAGAGGCTGGGCGTTTATTGTGTTCATCTTCCTCCTCTTTCCTGGCTAGTGCTGCCTTAAGACCAGCAATCTGATCACAAAAAGTTCAACAATGCGAAGTAAGAATTGATTCTTAAGCTAACCGTCTGGAAGAACCATACAAGTGACAGTCTAAGAGACAATGTAAAAACCTGTTCTTTGAGTGCTTTGACATCTGTACTATCTTTGTTTACCCGGGCAGCACCAAGTTCAACTGTGGCTACTCGCTCTGCAAATTTAAGTGTACTTATTGTTTCACTGACAGCATCTGGCTCAGGACTTATGTGAACAAACATAAGTGTCTTGGCTTGTCCACCTAAAATAAGATTACAAACAAAGAGTCGTAATCAAATTTTCTTGGATAATCTAAGGCTAAAGACAGAATGTATACCATTCTCAAGAAGGCATGTGGTAGTTAAACTTACCCAGTGAATCTTGGAGCAGCTGTGTTAGTTTGCTGTTTCTGTAAGGGACATGTGAGTTCTTTTGGGCAAGGGAAGCAATCACATCCCCTAAAGCCGAGAGTGACTTGTTAATATGTTGAGCTTCTTTTAATCTATCTCCGGTCACCTCAGATTTGTCTACCCTCTCACTCCCTGCAAGATCAACCAGATGCATACAGCCACGAAGAATAGCTCCAGATGTCAAATCCCTTCCTTGAACATGAACAGTCAAGCAACTGCATATTGATAAAAGTTAGAGTTGGCTAATTCCCATTTAAGTATTCGTACAAACTTGGCACCACAGAAGACTAGATTCCTACCTGTGAGAGCGACTACTACGGTCGTTTAGGGCAGTTGCACCCACAACACGATTTCTTTGTCCAAGGTTCATCAGATCAATAACATCAGATGTTGATGAGACACGAATAAGATTTGCGTCGGGCACGCTGAGACCTGTCTGAGAACTATTACGAATTTCTAATGTAACAACCAGTTAAGAAAAGCCTGGCAATTGTAGATAAACAAGCACATTTTCATCTTGATTTTGACCCATACTGAAAATTAGGTATATTTAAAATCCAATGAAATAGTACAGCTAAACAAATTTATTTTTAAAAAAGTAACAAACTGATGTTCAAAAGATATCTTGAGTTTTCTGTTTGTCTTTTGCCAAGAAACCAATGTCAAGTTTCTTGACCTCATTAAGGAAAAACTAAATTAAGCAGTAAATTAGTAAAGGATATCTTTTGTTAGTTCCATCAGTAACAAGAAGATCTCGGACTTGCTCGTTATAGATCTCAATCATCTGAACAGAAACATCATAGTTGAAAGTGTCCTTTCTTTGATCTGCTATCAGAAACAAGTCTCCCAATGCCCTATAATTTACACCTTGGCTTTTCTCTGTAAGCTCTCTGGGTCCAGTCTAATCATGCAAGTACCAAAAATCAACGATAGTATGCATGCATTAATCAATCAAGCAACAATTTACATAAAATAGCATGTATTCAGAGATAGAGAGCATATATTACCATAGTGTAAGTTTTCCCTGATCCTGTTTGGCCATATGCAAAAATACAAACATTGTAACCATCAAGGACAGACCGAATCAGTGGGTGCATATCAGAGAAAACATCCGCTGCAATAAAATAGAACAAAATATTGTTATAAATATAAGCTTAATGTTAAGATAATAAAACTCTGAAGATTGTTTTTCTCCAAAAAAACCTTCTTAATAAAAACCATACCAACCTTGGGTTGCAGATGGCTCAAAGACTTTGTTAAAGTTGAAGGACCTACGTCCTTTCCCATGTCTTGAGGGGATGTTAATAGTGATATTTCCATCTTCTATGTGATCCACAGTGCTCATATAGTTTGAAAGTCCAGATAAGAAAGGTCTCACTCGACAATAAACCCTGATACTTCCTAATCAACACAACAAATAACCAATTAACCATTTTGAGGACTAGCATTATTTAGGCATGTGTGAAACTTTAAGTATAGACGACTAATGATCTTATTATTACCTTTGAGGTCTTGGACTTGATTGTAAAGCTTTCGGTTTTCCTCAAGAACTCTGTGATACCCACTCGCAGCATGAGCTAGGCTGTGAATATGCAAACCTATGGAAGCAAAAACTTGAATTAGAAAAAGAGATACCAACCCCAAAGGGAAAAGGCAACCAAAAGCAACAAGTGGTTTTCTTATGAGTTTATACCAATATTGTTGAACTCCTCACGGAACTTCATTTTCATAAACTGAATACCAGATTTTGTAGTGTGAAGAGTTTGCTTTAGTTCCTGCAAAATTTACATGTGGCAATGGCATAAATATGCGAACCAATAATAAAATAAAATGGAGACTACTTCACAGCTGAAACCCACCTGAACATCTCTTTGTTGTCGATCGAAGATCATTTGCTGCTTAAGCAGCCGACCTTTTGATTCCTCTTCAGAGATGTAACTTTTATTGAACGAGTCTTTGTCTTCCATCTAATTATTATTGCAAAAGAAACAAATATATGAGTTTTAATCTAGTTATAGACGTTGACGTCAAAATACGAGTTTCACTTGCTGTTCAAAAGGTAAAGCACAATAGTTACCATTTTGTCACCAGAAGCGAATTTCATTGAAGGCTTTTTGCTGTGAGAAACAGCCGCATCTTTCGGAGTTGTTTTTGTCTGTAAGATATATTAATAGGTACATGTTTAGGTTTAAATTAAAATGACAAGGAACAAACAGTATATAAATCTAATAGCTCATGTTTCCAATGTAAAAATTCTTGGATGCCTCATTTTCTGATATTAGGTTTGTCTAACACATGCAAACATATAAATGATGACCCTAGTCATGTTGAACAGGTGAAAGTCTCCTAATAATGTTTATATAAAAAAAAGGTAAAAGTTTTTAATGAGAAAGACTGGCATACCAATTCATATTGGCTGGCAATACGTTGCTCAAATTCCTCCACGAGCTTGCTTAGCACAGACTCTACCACCTGTTACAGCCAGAAGGATAAAATAATCCAATTAAGAGCGAGCAGAAATGTTAGAAGATAAAGTTGACAGTGATTAATAGTAATTTATAGGTGGTGGTATCAATGAATCAACAATTGCCCCCTTTTTCATGCAAGTTAAAAACGCAATTGGGTGGTCAAACACAAACCAGTTAGGATTGTGAACGAAAAAATTCAAGTAGCAGATATGACTGGTACAGATGAAAGACTGTTTCGCCAACTTAATTAGAAAATAGCTATGCTGAACAATATAACACACTACTGAGTGCATTGCCCTTACCACTGGAACTTCTTCAGGCTTCTTATCTAATAGAAGTGCACGGACAAGCATACTAAAGGTGCGAGAACTAGACTGCAAATATGCGAACAGGAAAGGAAAAGCTTATGGTTATTCTTCTAATTCAATTGAGAAAGAATGCAGAGATACAAATAAATAAATATAAACAGAAATAATGATAACAAAAGTTTAGCTTACCAACCATTTTATTAGAATCAAGATCAGAGGCCTGAGCACTCAAAGGTTTTTCATTCATTGAGGAGGTCCTCGACAACGAGTTCGTGAATGGCTCGGAATTTTTTCTTACAAAAGACTTGGCTGACGTAGTAGGTTTTATATTTCCACCAAATTTCCATATGCCATTACCCCCAGTCTGTTTCCAGTCACTGTAGGATTTAAGTGCCAGAACTGTATTCACAACCCTTGCCGATTTCCCTCCCTGAAAGATAACAAGATAAAATGTACAGATGTTAAAGAAATACTTATCTTAGATAATCTAATTCTGAAATTATAGTTTTCTGACTACAAATTCCAGAAATTTGATGTGCATAGTAGTTGTCTTAAATAAATCTCTACAAAATAATGAAGAAGACCATTCGTGTAAAAGCCTATCATTAAATCATTGTTATTAAACCTCAGAATTTGATTCTGCACGAGTACATACTTGTTCCAAATCGGAAGCCTCAAACGTGGGAAGCCCCATTTCTTGAATAGCAACAAGGAAGTTTCTCACATTCTCGAAGTACTGAAACGCAGACAATGCCGCCCCATCAGGGATCAAAGCTGAATCACATGGACTTTCTACCACCTGGGAAAAAGTTATGTAAGGTAAATAATGGATAAATTTTAAAAAATTGAAAATGAAATTGAAAGAAAGCCGGAAATTAGGATCAGGGTCACCTTGGGCACAGCTCCAGGTTGAACCTTATTGATAGCGTTGCAGAGGATAATCCCACTTCTCAATCCAAGCCTAAACTCTTCCTCGGAAGGCTCAGCAGGCAAATCTTTAGCCACAACAACACCGATCATCTTTCTAAGCCACCCAGCAGCCTCATTTCTTCTTGATGCTACACAACAAAGGTTAGCTCATTTAGCTTAGGCAATGAAATGTAACCCAACTCTCAAGTACTCAATTTTTACTATTTCAAACTCGTTCAAAATTGGACAATTTAAGAGAGAATAAGTAACACAATTCGCCAGTGTGTGCCCACATTGCTTCAGAGAACCACATATACAGAATCATCGGTCGGATGGTAGGACAATCGTAGATTGGAACAAAATTCAAAAAATTTAAAGCAAATAAACAAGTTTCTTCAAGTATCTAACTGGTAAAGTTAAATCAGAACAAAAAGAGAGAGAGAGAGAGAGAGAGAGAGAGCGAGAGCTGATCCTCTGTTTGGTTGCTGAGAAAATGGATGAAAACACAATATTGAATTCGAAGAGAATTATAGAAGAAACTTCGATCAATGCATATTCTTAGGTATTAGCCGGAGAATTTTTTTTCCCCGACAAAAAGAAGAAGAAGAAAGAAAGAAACATTAATGGAAAAGTGATTACCAGCTTCCTCAGCTTTTCTAGACTCCAAATTGAGATCTCCGACGCGAGTACCATGCTGTTGAAGCACATCCTCCACCATGGACGCTACCGAAAATGACAATGTCCCTCCTGCCGCCATTGTTTCTTGCTTCCCTACCACCGGCACACTAACGATTTCTCACTCTAAGCCAAAACTTAAGACCACACTTCACAATCTCGCCATCAAATCCACAACTTCTCAAAAAGATTTTTACCAAATCAATGTAATTAAACTCTTAAATACGTATACTTAGAACAAGTAGATTATGTCCCTGTATTGCCGGCACTTGAGGAAACAGAAGTAAGAACCACAAGGGTTTCACAGAAAGATCTACAACCAAAATAGTAACTCAGAGACGGAGAGAGAGAGAGAGAGAGAGAGAGAGAGAGAGAGAGAGAGAGAGATGATATTATCTTTGTTGTTGGAGATGGTGTTTGATGTAAAGGTTTCTTTGTTTCCAATTTAGACTCTCACATTCCTCCTCCAGTCCATGACCTTTTGCTTTTCTCTCTTTCTCTTTTCACGCTCTCTGCTTTAATACTCTCTCCGTCCGACTTCCCTTTTTTCCCAAAGCTACTGCCCAAACCTGTTTCCGAGCCTTCCCGGGTTTAAACCCATTTACCCGTTTTCAAATCAAACATCTAAACACCACTCAAAAACAAAAATATCCGGTGCAGTTGCTTCTACGGCGCGTGTGATTTGGCAAGTTTAGCGAGCTAGACCTGGATCTTCACGGGCACCAGAGGGGTGGCTGGCTACAGATTTCGGGTTGAGATCCTACTTACAGGACATAGATCCGGGCATTTCAATAAAAAGCTATTTAATGTTCTAACCTCTTATTAAGCTATTGCTTTCAATCAAGGAAAACGATATCCACCATAACTTTGGATCCTATGTAGTTGTGGACCATAGTTTCTTTTACAAACTCATCGTGTATAATTAATTTGTTGCAGTAAACATTTTTCTATGTCAGATATAATTGTAACTACGAAAATCTTTTTTAATTAATCGAGGATGATTCGAATTTAGATATAACTATATAAACTGTGCCATCATTTTGAACACTGAATGACGGTGTGTGTCATTACTATTGCTTTAATTAGAGGACAAAATCCCCCCACATGAATTCAAAAACATTAACACTAGCCTTTCAAATAATATTCTCGCAAGCGGGTGAGCTTGTCCATTTCATTTGCATATAGCTATCGTCATGTTCAACTAGTTTTATAGCTACCGTTTGCTAACTTATTCGTTTTATTGGTTCAAATGTTCCGCTAGCCAACCACCCTTCCTTTGAAGATAAAAAGGAGGGAAATAATTTTGTTTTTTATTTGAAATACATGCCCAGGTTTACTCATCCAATTCAGTTTCTGGTGTGTTATGACTACTGTCACAATATTTACAAAATAACCTCCAGCGTTCAAGCCAAATAATTGTTTTAAACCTACCCTTGGTCATATACAAGTTCAAATTCAAATATTATATATATATATTGGTTAATTTGTTTCAAAGCAACGAAAGCATATGTAGAAAGTATGAACGTTGACACAATATATTCGGCAAGTAAAAAGTTTGAAAGCAAGCTACAAGCATAAACATTATCCAATCATCTAATTACATCGAATATGAATATATACATGAAATTGTAGGCGATTATCTGGTTGGTCATGTGTCTCTGTCACATAGAAATGGTTGTTGAACACCTATAAACCACTTAGGTCATAATGATGGATTAACCAATACAAAAGATAAACTATGGCCTTGAGCTCTAAGTAAGAGAAGCTTGGAACTTTTCTACCGCCCATCTTTTCTTTCATCCATAATGTTGGATTGAACCCCTCTATAGTACTAGAGTGTTTTTTTAGCAAGCTGATGGTAAGAGTTATTCGTTAAATTTTGATGGGAAGCCAGCACACATAATTTGTTTCAAAATATCAATGATCAATATGTCTTGATACTCAATGAATTTATGTCTTCCTTATTTTGACGGATTTGTCGATTATAATAAATTTGATATGAATATTGTGTGCACATAATTTCTGACAAATGTTCTGTCTGCCTATTTAAAAAAAAATTAATGGGAAGCAAACAATCAAATGGGACACGAGTGGAGGAGGGATGGCATGGGCATACTGCATACAGATACAGATCAGAACACTACAATCTCGATGGCTTCAACGTTCGAAAAATTCAAATGATAGGTCGGGTCCCGAACCTCCAGGTATGGATACAGTTGAGGCCCACGTAGAGCGTCTTTGCCGGTCCCACTCAGGACCGTTCGGCGGGCATTTAATATTTTAATAGCAAGAGTGAGTGATATACTCATAGGAAGTTAAGGAAAAGATTCACGACAGACCAATGGGTGTCAGCGGTCAAGCACAATGGACAATGGTTGCTTTGTACGTGACATGTTTTGATTGGATAAGGTTTGGGTATATCAATCTGCTGCCCCGTCAACGTGTAACGAGCGTAAAAGTTTTGTAATTTGCGGAAGAGTCGCTCAATTACAAAACCCGCACCTGTAGCGCGTGGGAAGGCATCTTCCCCTTTGAGGGCCTGTTTGGCAGATCCTGAAATTTTATCAGATTTGATTTAAAATTCGTGTTTGGTTGGCAAATATAAATTTTTTTTTAAGAAAGAGTACATTCAAGTGGTTGCTTTGCTGATAAATTATATAAAGTTTGTATCATGTCACTCCTTTATAAATAATTATTCAGTAAATTAGTGAAATTCATCATAACATATACATTCAATTTGTTGCTTTGCTGATAAATTATATAAAGTTTGTATCATGTCACTCCTTTATAAATAATTCATCAGTAAATTAGTGCCTCAATAGTAAGGGTTCGAAACCCATTGAAAGTACTTTGTAACTAAGAGCAAGCCGAACCCCCGAGCGGGAATTAATCGCACATTTCGGGTGTGGAGACATCTTGTGGTATTTACCGAAAAGGTAGCTTACTAATTGGAGTACATATTATAACTAATTAAACTGAATTGGTTGCCATCCAATAAAAGAAGTGTCATAAAAGGAGGAAATGAAATGTAAATGGAGGGAGAGAGAGAGGTGGTATTTACCGAAAATGTAGCTTACTGGTTGGTACAGATTATAACTGATAAAACTGAATTGGTTGCCATCCAATAAAAGAAGTGTCATAAAAGGAGGAAATTAAATGTAAATGGAGAGAGAGAGAGAGATTGCCAACCAAGACATTTGAGCAAAGGGAATGGGTTGAAATTATGTAATTCTCAAAGTAATCAAATTAAAAGGCCCTGGACGGTTGTTAATAATTCATTATTACTTGTAATAAAAAAGGGTGTCAATGATAGTTGGACTATAATTGCAATTACCAAATTCAGATAGATTATCTGTTACAATATTTATCGTCTTCACATGTTATGTTAAGCCAGCGCCCAGCTAAGGTGAAGGTGGTGCTTCCCTTCCCATGAATGATTTTATTCACGAATTGCATTCCATTAGATTGGATTGGACCCTATCATATCACTTTCTGCTGCTGCAACATTATGCACATGAGAGATGGGAAGCCTCAGGCCTGTGCCGCATTATAATGTCATATCATGGAAACCGTACACGCGTCATCAGCCTACTCGGCTACCCGATAAAAGTTTGATTTTCAGTGCTCTTCCAACTGAAGCAAAAGAAATTTTGCAGTAAAACTATCATGTAAAGCAATCATATTAATTCAGACCAAAAAAATAAAAAATAAACAAAGGCATACATACTGGATAAAAAGAAATCATATTACATACATAAAGTAGTTCATAAGTTTTTTTATACGAGCGATAATGAAAGAGGAGATTCGAACAACTCGAGCTATAAGTTTTAGAATAGCCTCTCTGATTCTTACACTAAAGTAAAAACAAAGGACTTTTTTGAGAAATTGGATCATGCAACCTAAGCTCTACTGTGCTCATGATTTTGTTTTGGCATCTAATCCGAATTAATTGCTTTTATTTTGTCAATTCAGGGTAAGGTTTTGTTTTGGCATCTAATCCTCCCCTTTTCAGAAGGGTAAAAGCCCTAAAGAATAATTGACTCGTAATTAATGGTTTTCACAGAAGTGGCATATCCTCCTTGAGGTTTGATGTCTCTTAGTCTCAGCCATGACCCGGAAAAAATAAAAAAAAGATGGTCAGTTCCCACTTGATTGATGCCTTAATATAATTACACGGGCCTTTTCTTTTTCATGAGAATAATTACAATGACTTTTTGAAGGGTTGCTTTCCTTTCACATTAACAACATATGCTCAACTCTACACAGAGAAAGAATATACATTGGTTTATGTCATTACAAAGTTAAAGCACTCATCATCATCATCATAATTGTGATTATAGTTTTTGGTTGGCCAGAGTGTAAAAAGGCTCTTGGTGGCAAATATGGATCATAGGAATAGCAATCCTCCCTGGAAAGCCACCACCAGCCACTTCCACCCACATACATATTTTTATATGATATATATACAGTAACAGTTATAGATTTCAGAACAAATCTAAGCCAATTGGTATAAACAAATCATATACAAATGAAAAAGTCAAGCCTTTTCTTTCAAGAAATATAAAGACCAGTTTGTTAAGAGATCAAACTTGGAAGTGGGTGGTTCCTAGTCCCTCGTGAGGTTGTAAATGCTTCTTCTTAGAACTTGGAAGGTTTGGTTTAATAAACTAGCAAAAATTATTTAAAATGTGTAACAGATAATATGGAGAAATAAAGGAAATAAAGAAGAAAAAAGTGTTGGTGTTTTAGTAATGTCGGGGTGGGGCAACATGCATTCCCTGTAAATCATGAAAGCATTGCACTCCTCCATCTTTTGGTAGCTCATGTATACTTTTAGAGCCGACACAAAACTATGATGAGGGCTCAGAGAGAGAGATAGATGGAGAGATGGCAGTCCTCCTTTTGCTCCTCACATTCCCCTTAATCATAATACTCTGTACTTGTTGGCTGGTGCAGCATTTGTTTCTAATAACATTCCAACTCATGTAAACCCCATGTAATATAATTGTAATACAAGCGATATATGGATAGGGGAATCGAACACACATTCTCATATACAGGGATAACTGCTTTTAGCCACTTAAGCTATAAACTCTTTGCAATGTGCATGTGAATTAAACATTCACGAAAGATAAAAGAAGCAAAAAAAGGGAGATATTTTGTTTTTTGTTCTTCTCCATTTCATTCCTTGCAAATGGAATTTTTCTTATATGCAGAGAAAAAAAAAAGGGCATTATAATGTTCCATTTGGTTGTTTTGGGTTTGCTTAGGTAAGTGGATATTTGATGGCTTTGCAATCACGTTCAATTAGGTGGTTCCAACTTCCAATTACCAAACTCGAGTCTAAAAGGCTAAAGCGCCACACGCATGATGATGGGCCTTGATTGGCTGGGAACAAATCTCGGCCCATTTAACATTAAAATTTGATCCATTACATGTGCGACTGGAGATGAATTGGGCTTTTTCTGGGTCAATAACTCATTGGGGTAAGGGCCTTACAGAGTACCTTTGTTGTAATCGCTAGCCAATGGGCTTATGACCCATCCCTTCTTGTCCCATATTAAATCGTTAGCCAATGTTATTTTAATTCGACCGGAAAAAGGAAGAAGAAAAGCTGTTCTATTTTGTCCTATTTGAATTTCAGCAAATATCCCCCAACTTTACCCAGCAAAATTCTTTTACACATTCAACTCCAATTTTGCCCTTATTAATAAAATAAAAGCATTTCTTAAAAACAAAATGTACATTCAACAACTAAACAACCCCAACAAAGAGAAAATATTCCATATTTATCAGTTGTATACAATTATATGTTTATTTTTCTCTTTATGCAAATAACTGTATACAACTACTAACGCCAAAAATCTCTCCCAAAGTAGCCCCCATTCCCGACTCACCATAAATCCGCCACCTCCCTACTATTTTCCTCTTCTGCAACTCTCCATCTTGCTTCTCTTTCTGATATGGAGCATGTTGAAGTTTCTCGCCAACATTGGGGCACCGATGGAGAAAGATTATTAGTGTGAGAGAGATGAGAGATAGGGAGAGAAGAAGCATATGAGAGTGGGGTGGTGGTGGTGAGTTGATGACAAGGTTAAACCATTTATTTTTTAGGTGATCTTTCGATGATGATTTCTATAAAAGATGAAATATCAAATTGAAAGTTGTATAAATCTTTGATTAATATATGAAAAGTTAACAATAACATTGTGTTTGTCTATATTTTATCGATAACAATTAGATGAATAAACGATTCCTTATTTGATTTATTTTCCGCAGAAATGATCATCAAAGCACACTTAAATATGAGAATAATGGGATGAGAGGGAACATAGAAATGGAAGTTCTAGCGTTGTCCAAGAAAAAAATGATCCATTAGTAGCAGTCCAATCACGCCCCAGTCCATGTGGAAATAAAATAATAGAAACGAAGTCGCTAACATAAGCCGATTGTGCGCAGTGTCTTAACCTGCGCATACACTTGCAGCATAACCTTGTGTAGAAGAGGAGGGAAATAAAAAAGGAAAGCGAAGGAAAGAGAGAGAGAGTGAGAGAGAAAGAGGATTGAGTTGTTACTGAGTGGGTTGAACGAGTTGGGTGACCGATCAACAAAAGAAAGAAACAACAAAGACCAATCTAAACAAAATAAAAACCACAGGAGGGGTTTGGGGTTGGGGTCGGGGAAAACTTGGGCTTTGGGTCTTTGGTGTGGAATTAGCAAAATGGTGAACACGAAGATTATTAGCCCTTCCTCTCCTTTACCACCACCACCTCCTTTCTCTCTCTCACATTACCCTAAAAACTCCAACTCTGACTCTATCTCTTTCCCATTCTCTAACCCTAACTCCGCGTGTCTCTATCCACACCAGACACCACCATATTCTTTTTACTCACCCACCCAATTTTATTTCCCAGTCATTATCTCTCTGCGTCTCTCTCTCTCTTCTCTCTGCTTTGCCTCTCGGGGTTTACTTCCTTTCTTCTTTCGGAATGTTTGCGCTTTCTTTCACTGCGGCGACTTCTGGTGTCCCAATTCAGTTCGATTCATAAGGTATTGGATCGGTCTTTTGCTTGAGTTTTCGTTGATTATGTGAGGTTTTTCTATCTGGGTAATTTGATTTTAATATGTTACAGCGGGTTTTGGGTTGTTTTTTGTTATTGGTTTTCTCTTTGTTCTGATGAATGATGAGTGTGTCATTGGGCGTATGTATGCTGATTATGTTTTATATTGGTCACTTGTTTAAGGTTTGGATGTATGTGTTCTTGTGGTTCGCTTGCTTTAAATTTCACAATTATTTATGTGGGGTTGATTTCGATTGCTTCTAAATTATGTGAATGGATGTTTTGGGGTTTTTGTTCTAGTGTTCAATGGGCGTTTTGCTTCTGGTTTGTTTCGTTTTGGGTGGGCTTTTGTCATATATGAATTCATTGAATTTTAGCTAGAACCCGCTTTGGTTTCTTTTATAAGTTTTAGGTTTTGTAATGCCCCATTTTTTGCATTTGAATGTCTTCGATTTAATTGTTGTAGTTTTTGTGTGTTATATGTTAGCAACTAAGGCACAATTTTCTAGGATTCTGGGTTTTCACCTGTATACTTTGATCAACTAACCAAAAAAATTTGTGTTATTGCCAAGAGCTTTTGTTAAACACCCTTAACCCTTCCAAAAACCTAAATTGTTTTTAATTTTCTTCCATTCCAAATTGGTTGTCATAGTTTAATTCTATGTTTGCTGTTTGTTCTCATGGTTTTCATATAATGAATGCTTCACATCCTTATCCCTCTGTTGCTCTATGTTACTGAAAATAACAGCATATGATTTGTTTATTTATAATTGTGCAAATAGTTATATATGTTTCCTTCTTTTTTTTTGTTGGGTAGGGATTTTGGCATCGCTGGAGTACTTCGTTGGTGTGTTTTTTCTTATTCATGTTTTGATAAGTAGTGGCATCACAAGAATTGGGCTGTAACAACTCTCCGTCATGGAAAACATTAGCAATAGTCATAGATTGGACAGTATCAGCAATGCTGTAAGAAGGAAGAGAAGTCAAACTTTTCGCCGACCTCGACCTGATTCACAGCAATACAACGAACTCCATGATCAGTCATCATTGTCATCAGCGACACCTTCAGATGATCAGAGCAAGGTCTCAAGTGATGAGAATGCAGGTTGTGATGCCAATTCTAAAAGAAAAGAGTGTAGTCTTAATGAATGTATGGCCAGGGTTTCCTCTGCCGTAGGCAACGGCGAAAAACCTCACAAAAATGATAGTAAGGAGGGTGAATTTAATTCATTTTACAATAATGAGCCAGGACGAAATGGGATCAATAACAAAAGGTCTAGCGAAGGTGTCCTTGCTCCTGCTAATTGGAAAAGCACAAGCATAATGAAGGATGGTTTGATATCAGAGTCAAGAAGTGCTGATGCATTTGACGGGATGAATGGTGAAAGTCCAAGTACTAGGTTGTCAGGATTAGATGGATTTGGAAATGAGAACAAGGTAAAAAAGGTTAAGCTCAAGGTTGGTGGTGTCACACGTACAATTCAGGCCAACTCTGCATTCAATGGTACAGCAGAGGGTGGGTCTTCTACGAAGACTTCTCGATTGTCAGATGTGTCTAGACAGCGGCAGAAGCCAAATCTTCTGGTAATAAACTATTGCTCTTTCATAGTGAGTAACGGAATCACTATCGTCCCAATTATACCAAGAGGATTTTAAGTTTTTTTTCTTCTTCACTTGCATCATCTTATTTGCGATTGATGCATATGGGTTATGGGCCATTAATGTCTGAGTTGTTGAAAATTTTGAATTTTTAGTGTATTTATTATAAAAGAATGTTTATTTTGTGTTAAAAAGTTTTGATAATCAACGCGACTGTTGGTATGACCCAGATCAGAGTATCTACTTGTCACCACGTGGACCGTTTTAATTGGATAAGTGGAAATTTAGAATATGTTATGTATGGAAAATTATCCTTTGCATTTATGTGTGCATATTTACAAAATAAATGCATTTTATTATTGTTAGTCTGTTGAGATCTTTTCTGTAAACAAATTTTGCCATAGCAGGAAAATTCAGATGATAATCATTCCCCTTCAGATAAGAAGAGCGGCTTAAAAGGAATTCCGTGGAAGGATTTTTCGAGAAGTGGTTTCAGTCTTGGGAGGGATAATTGTTCGATGGGCAGGATATCGGGAAAAAACACCTCTGGAAAGGAAGGAGATAGATCTGAACCAGTTCGTAAGAGCAAGCGGGTGCCTAAGAGGCGTGTTCTTGATGGAGAATTTGGAGATGATGAAGAGGATGACGAGATTCGGTATCTGGAGAAACTCAAAACATCGAAGGTTACTGCAGGGTATAGAGAAGATGACGAAGAGTCTAGCAAGAAACATAGAAAACTTTCTGCAGTTTCTAATATTGATAATGCTGGTGCATCAAGGTCGGGAAAAGACCTTAAGAAGAAGTCGAGAACAGATAGAGCATCTGGAGACACTGATTATGAGGAAGATGAAGATTCATTATCTGATGGTGAGCTTGAAGGTAAAAAGAAACAGAAGAAGGAATCTGTTGACTCTTTGATGGATGGTAAGAAGGAAATGACTCTCACAACTCGTCAACGGGCCCTTCAGTCAAGCAAAGATGTCTCTTCATCCCCTGGTTCAAGCTTAATTGAGTTTCCAAATGGATTACCACCTGCACCGTCTAGAAGTGAGCTTTTCCACCAATATTTTGTATACTTTAAAATTCTTTCGTTAGTGTAGTTAATTGTAATATTTCCATTTTATGATTGTTGTGGTTGATCACAGAGCAAAAGGGGAAACTTTCGGACGTGGAGCAGCAACTGAAGAAAGCTGAGGCTGCTCAGAGACGCAGACTGCAGGTTGAGAAGGCTGCTAGGGAATCAGAGGTATGCTTTATTTTGCTCTTTATTCCTTTGTCATTTTCCTTTAATTTATTTGGAGTTCTTGAATTGGAGATCAGCCTTTATTTTTGTTATTGAATTATGTAGGCTGAGGCTATTAGAAAAATACTCGGTCAAGATTCCAGCAGGAAGAAGCGCGAAGACAAGATAAAGAAGCGCCAAGAAGAATTGGCACAGGTATTGTAAACTATGGGATGTATCCCTCCTTCCCTCCCCCCTTGTGCTTCTGCCTCTGTAAAATGCGAGCAGTTCCATCTTGTACTCACTGTACTTTATGCAGGAGAAGGCTGCTAACATGTTGACACTTCCATCAAACTCCATCAGATACGTGATGGGGCCAACGGGGACTGTAGTGACATTCTCTAATGATATGGGTCTCCCCAGTTTATTTGACTCTAAACCCTGCAGGTAATTCTTTTTGTTGCTAGTTTTACCCAATATCTATGCTCGTTTGGTGATGGTCTTAACATCTTGTGGTATGGAAATTCAGTTATCCTCCTCCGCGTGAGAATTGTGCGGGTCCATCATGTACCAACCCGTACAAGTATAGGGATTCTAAGTCAAAGCTTCCTCTTTGCAGTCTTAAGTGCTACAAGGCAATCCAGGAAACGATGCAAGCATAAACTACGGGCTAATGTCGGCAACAACCTTGTTTTAGCCTTCAAGTATGCTGGTAACTTCTGCAGATGTCTAAGTACAGATTTTGGGGTTGGTGGGAGAACATTCTTAGCTCGGTGTAGAGAAGTTTATACAAGTACACATTGTTTTTCGGCTGTAATAAGCCTCTAGGGTTAATATATAAATAATACCTTCCATGTTTTATGATACCTGAGTTTTTTTGTTGTGGTTTTGGAAAGGTTCATTTTCATGGTGAGACAAGCCTGTGCCCTGTTTGTTATTTATATTAACTTTGGGTTCATTCGGCGTAGTGTAACATTATAAAGTTGAGAAATTTATAATAAATAGAAGTTTCTGACCATTCAATTTGATCTAACCTTGTCACAAACTGACTTCAGTTCAACTTAATATTCCATATTATTTAAATGTCCATATGTCATTGTAGAAAGCAAAAAATAAAATAGTTCTCCTTTCATATTGCAATTTGCATCCGCATTCCAATCGTGTTTTCAGCAAAGTTAAAAAAAGATATATTGGCGATGCCTCTTCTTTTTATTTGAATATGTTCTCAATACTTCAGAGCCTTTTTTTTAAATACAAGCAATGCCATGGGGTTTTCTCAGTACTTGAGGCTTTAGTTAACAAAAATTCAATTATTACCCTCATAAATGATAAGATAACCAAAAATAAATAAAATTTGATGATGGAGAACTAAAATAGAACAGTTTTATTAAAAAAAGTTTCAATTTTTTTTAAAATTCAAGTGTTATTTTCAAAAATAATTTTATTTATGTGCTCCACAAATAGTGGAAAACTGTGGGCTAGATTTTATTGGGCCATGGCCTTTAGGCTTTGATGGAAAAATGGCCCAATGCAATAGAATCAGAAAAGCGCCAGGACAAGATATTACGGTGGAAGGTGGTAAGTTGTTGCTTGCTCCAACACTCCACTCTCCAGAGTCTACTCTGCCGCCGTGAGCCCTGAGCTTTATTTTGCAGATAAGGCGCCTACAATTTAACTTCATTGCTTACTTCATTTACGTTAAATAAAACAAAAATGTCGCAGACGTGCGTTTCCACATCGGCCTCGTCTCTCAGATTCAACTCCCTTGGCTTCGTCCCAAACCCTAGCTCGTCTCCCCAACCACAGGCCCTCTCTCTCCCCTTCCAACGCTTACCTTCAAGGTACTTTCTCACTAACTTTAATTTCTATATGTTAATTTTGAATTTTAACTCTTCTTTTTCTCGATGCTTGGTTTTTAGAGAATATTCATTCATTTCTGATTTTGAATTTGTTAACATCTTCATTATTTAGTGAGTCTCATCTTTATAGCCTTAATATAACTATGTGGACTGGTTAAGATTAGGAATTTCATATTTTGCGGCAAACCCAATAATCCAACTAATTGCTGAGAAAGGGGGGGATATTTGAAAGTTATGAGTTGTATTTGTATGTTTGGTCCTCGGTGTTGTATTGTTTATCTGGGAGTTTGGGGAACTTCTTCAGCTTAAGCTCACTTTATAGGGAGTTACCAATCATATGGGATGCTGACACTTTGAATTTCTCCTAACCCAATTCTTTATATTTTATATCTCTACTTTATTCTTGAAATTTTGGAAATTTTGTCAAATTTTACCACAACATAAAGAAAAACTTATGGGTTTATTTCCAGCTTATTGGGGTTGGATAAAACATTACGGTTTTAATGTTTTGCAGGAAATTGAATAAGTTAGTTGGGAAGAGCAAAAATCTCCAAAGTTCTCCAGTGAAAGCTATTTACTCTGGTGAACATTGGGCACCAGAAAGGAGTTCTCGTCAAGGAATTTGGTCCATAAGGTGGGTTTATTGTTGATTCATCCCTGCATGATTAATCTTTTCTTGGATAAGAAAGCTCATGCATATCTTTCGTTTATGTTTATGTCAATTTGAATCTGATGCTGTAGGGAGGATGTGCAAGTTCCATCTTCTCCATACTTTCCAGCATATGCACAGGGACAGGGCCCACCCCCTATGGTGCAAGAACGCTTTCAGGGTGTTATTAGTCAGCTTTTCCAGCATGTAAGGAGTAGCTTTTGGTGTTTTTCCCCTGTGGAATTTGGTGGGTTCTGCGCCTGTAGATAGTTTATTTTGACTAATGCTTTTCTTGTTAATTTTTTTTGTCAGAGAATAATACGTTGTGGGGGAGCTGTTGATGATGATATGGCAAACATAATTGTTGCTCAACTTCTTTACCTTGATGCTGTTGATCCTAAGAAGGTCTGTGCTATTCCATTTCTGCTCTTCGCTTGTACTGACTCTCTCTTCCTCTTGCATGCATCATGCAGTGATTTTTGGAATTGTACAGCATTGTGCAATTGATTGATCGGTTAGTGTGTCTTCTGATTTTTGAACAGGACATTGTCATGTATGTAAATTCACCAGGAGGATCTGTTACTGCTGGTATGATCTATCCTAGGAAACCGTCTTGCTATGTTTACAGTTTTTGTTCGTAAGGCAGTTTTGTATATTACTTGAATAACTAGCTCTTTATCTGCTTAGGTATGGCCATTTTTGACACTATGAGGCATATACGACCTGATGTATCCACTGTATGTGTTGGGCTTGCAGCTAGGTACATGCCCCTATAATACTCTTCTCTTCCCCCTGTTACTATTAATGAGTCTTCACGTGTGTGTCTGTATGTCTTTGGTGTTAACTTATATAGATATAATTAGCGGTGTTGGTAATGAAAAATTATTCTAAACATGTTTCTATTTCCTGCCTCAAGATACGTTTGACTTGATTTTTTGTTCTTTGCTTTTCTATTCCTCCTCTGCCTTATCTTTGTGGGTGGTGCAGCTGGTCATTACTATTCTGCCTTTGATTTTTCTCCCATTTTGTCTAGAATTTGTAAGGGTGGTTTATTTATCATTCTTATGGCTGTATAGCCTGTATGGGCTAAAGATGCTGAGGCAGATTTAAGCTTCAAGTGTTGCTAGTTTGTGAAAGATTACATTTGCTGAATGCGTATAAGACTGATATATTAATATCATATTACTGGATGGCTTTGCATTCAGATCTTTAAATAGCTGTTTGTTGATGGCCAAAATTCTTACTTTTTGCTAATGTTAGCATCCAAAAAAAAGGTTTTGACCACTCATCAGTGATTGATATATGTTTTTGCCTTTTCATGAACAGCATGGGGGCTTTCCTGCTCAGCGCTGGTACCAAAGGTAACCAATCCATGTTGTGCCTGTGACTTGTATAATTTGTGGTTTTGTGTCCTGAAGTTGCTAAATATTTTTGGGTTTTTTCACTGAAGGAAAAAGGTACAGCTTGCCAAATTCGAGGATAATGATCCATCAGCCTCTTGGTGGAGCTCAAGGTGGGCAAACTGACATAGATATTCAGGTATGTTACTTGTTTACATTTTTGAAACCTCTATCCATGTTGTCCAAAAGCCAAAAAGGAAAAATCTCTCAATATATAGTGGGGACCTCATGTTAATTTAACAATCACATCTTGCATAATCTTTAATTGCTGGCTATTATACCTGTTTATTTTGGTACTTAAACCTTTAAAGATTGAAGTAAAACTCATGATGTCTTGAAATTTTTTAACCCGCAATTAAAAAAATTATTATTATTATTGCTATGTGTTTTTTGGTGATGATTTATAGAAGATTTTAGTCCATTATTTTCTTGAAGTGGCTTGGGTGCCTTATTTTGTACACCAATGGAGTTACATGTTTTTAAGAAGAAATCCTTGAAGTCTGTAATTCTTGTAAAATTTTTAAACACTTAGCAACTGAGTGATGGCAAATAAGATTGATTAAAGAGTTGACATGCTGTACAGGCAAATGAGATGCTGCATCATAAGGCAAACTTGAACGGTTATCTCTCCTACCACACTGGTCAAAGTCTTGAAAAGATCAATCAAGACACAGATCGTGATTTCTTCATGAGTGCGAAGGAAGCCAAAGATTATGGGCTTATAGATGGTGTGATATCGAATCCTCTCAAAGCTTTCCAACCTTTGGCAGCCACAACAGCAAGTGAAGATGAATCAGCTGAGCAAACTGTTGCGGAAAGTAAAGGTGAATCGAGTGTCTGAACTTCTCCGGCTGTGGCAAGTACCGACAGGGCTATGTTGTAGAGTTATATGGGAAGGAGAGTAACATTTACGGAGTTCGTTTTTAATGCTGAATGATGTTAATATCCGTCAATCAGAGAAGAGAAATGTTGGTTTTGCTGTTAATTCCCTCTGAACTAATAATTGATTCATGAAAGAATAGAAAATTCCCTTAATGCATCTCGTGTTCTTTAAGCATCCTCTTAGGTCATGGTGATAATTATGACAATTGACTTGCTACCGATGCTTATGTCTGTAGTTTTCTCATTTGGGTTCGGATAAGCTACTTAAGAAGCTCAGATAAAACTCCAATCTGTGGAGGAGGAAGCGCCCGACTTTTCTGATTCCAACCAATTAATTACTGCCATCTTTAAAACTTAGGTGACGAGTACGGCAAATGCCTTGCATACATGGTCCCGGCGATTTGACAACTATGGGCAGTATTGAGTTCTATAATAGCAGAAAAACTTTCTTGTGACGGAGAGTCTTAACCGATATGGGCAGTATTGAGTTCTATAATAGCAGAAAAACTTTCTTGTGACGGAGAGTCTTAACCAATAATGCAATGACATATGAAAAAGTTATTTTGTGTGTTCATTGATCGAGATAGAAAAAGTGATATTCCATTTGCATGAAAGTTATGCAGATTCTTCCCACAAGCGGATATAATTGTTAGTTTTATGTTTTGGCTTTTTCTAGAGAGAATCTGCAACGATAAAACACCAAAAGCCAAATGCAGCATAGACTTTGTAGGTATCGAGATTCCAGAACCTAATCTTTTTGTATCAAAGGAAAATAGGAACAAAATGCCAAAGAAACAAACATCTTCCTCCACCAAATCAACCACCCATTGAATTTTTTTAAAAAGGAGCTTAGCCTGCTTTGATTGATCACATAACTCTCCGAAAAGAAGGACGAACGCCTTCCACCAAACCAAACCACTCAAAGAAAAAGAGAACACTCAACACCTCATCTCCAAAAGATGTCTGAGAGCACTCGTGGACCTCGTGCCATCTTTAAATTAACTTATGAAAACCTCTGCCACTGTGTGTCTCTGTGTTTTTGTGGTGAAAGAGGGACCGCCCAGTCACCCACCCATTAACTTTTGCTCATGACAAAGTGATGCAACTTTCTCATTTCGAGAACCCAAAATGGGAAATATTAGAAAAGATGCCGACTAGAAACAAGCGCTGGTAGTGGGCTAAAGGCATGAAGATGACATATATATTAACAATATTTTGCTAGGTACATTGTTCTAAGGGCTGCAAACACTAAAAACACTAAAAACACTAAAAACAAGTCCACTGGGATCAAGAGGGGACAGAGGGAATCCTTTCAAGGGAGAGATTGCTCCTCATGAAGCTTGGGAAAGATGAAAATGTGGGTAGTTCTTCAAGCTCATCAAAGAAGTCATTTTCTTCAGATTTGGGTGTTGAGAAGCTCATGAGCTGGGAATAAGAGAGGGGCTCTTCATCCAAGAGGAACCCAAGAGTGCTAGAGACATGGGTTTTCTCTAGGAAAGGGTCTTCTTCTTGTTCAATCATAATATTTTGGGAAGACCTAATTGGGGACTGAATGTAGTGAAAATGATCTTCATGATCACTTTTCATTGCAGGATGGTCTTCTAGTTTTCCTTGTTTTTCTTCTTTCTCTTTCTCTGGCTCTTTCTCTTGCTCTTCTTTCTCTTGCTCTTCCTGTTTGGGAAGTAGGGCTGGGAGATTATGATCTTCAGTGCTGGGTTGCAATTGGGTCAAGTTAGTGGTGGAGACATCAGGGCCTGGATGATTATGGCTACAAGTGTAGGTGATTATGAGCACTGAAGCATCAGTTTTGCTTCTCTCCACTTGTTTTTTGGCAGAACAACCCTTTGATGTACTGCACCTGTAGTAGCCTCTGCATCATCAGAGAGAATTAAAAAGCAGCAATATTTAAACAGAGAGTCCTAATTGTTAATCTCATTTCTGAAATTAAATACAGCCTCGCTTGCAAATTCTTGATGATATGTGATCAGAGATGATAACATGCATGACTACAAATAATGAACTGATAACTTTTTCTTTGGGGACTTTAAGATTTAATTAGAGGAAATTAAAAGATAAAATGTGAGGCCATGTAAGATGTTAAAATTAAGAGACCAATATTGATCATGAGCAAAAAGAAAAAAAGAAAAAAACCTTGGATAAGGTGATCCTTTGATAGGTTTTTGCCCATATTTCCTCCACAGTCTTCTCATGAACCACCTTCCTATAACAATAAACGTATTTATGTAAAAAAAAAAGTAGTACTTATATGTAAGTTTTTTTGATGAAATATACACACACACACACACACACACCTTCTTTTGGATGCCTGACCTTCTGGCCTGAGTTCTTTTGGAACTTCTGAGTCTGGTTCTGGAGAGAGGGTTTCATCCATGCTGACTTTTCCTCCTTGGTTTTCTATCTTCTCTCTGTGTATGTATTCTGATAAAAATCTTAAGTAGGGTATAACAATAGTAGACAGTCACAGACTTTTGTTTTGTTTTGTTTTGTTTTTTTTGTTTCTGGTGATGGAGGAAGTTGCAGAAGCAATAACTAAGGAAAATGGATCAAGATCAGACCTCCCAACTGATTAAGAGAGAGAGAGAAGGAGAAAGGGAAAGCAAAGGAGGAGGATAAGCTAGAGATGACAAATCAAAAATCCCAAGTTGCTTTCTCTCTTTCTTTTCACTCATTTAATATGAACTATATGCACACATCATATCACCACCTCACTCCTCCCTCCCTCATAGCCCCACCCCACCCCACCATCCAATATCATAGTCCACCCATTAGAACCATGCAAGTGATATTTCCATGGACAAAACATGTTGGCCCCATACACCTTTTGATGCATGATATAAAGACAACGAATGCATTTGGTAAAATTATATGTCACAACAAGAAGTGAACCTCCAACATCCAAAACCAAAACCCAAATATTTAATTGAGTTATTATCAAAACCAGATTAGTTAGCTGTAATGAGTTTTCCTTAACAACTAAGTCGTTGAAGTATAGTGGTAAGTATTCCCGCCTGTCACGTGGGTGACCCGGGTTCGATCCCTGGCAACCGCGAGTTCTTTGTAATTTTCTTTTTATAGCAGAATTGTTTGTAAATTTTTGGCCTGTTTACATAGGCAATGCTACTTTTATTTTGTATGCGAAAAATAGGATGGGACAAGTCAGAATCCCTCATGTGGTGAATTTATTTTTTTTGGGAAAAGAACACGACAGATTTGCCCCTGCGCTTATTTTACCGGTGGATTTGCCTTTTTAGCTGTGCGTGTACAAACAGAAGTCAGTCTCCTGTTCTGCTCGTGTGCGCTTATGGGGAATGGTAGCTGCCAGTGTCACACATGACATGAGGCTTAATTTCACAATTTGAGAATGAGAAGCTTCAAGTTTGAACTGGTCCAAGTATTCTATGGTATGTATGTATGATGTATGAATCATGATATGAGTTTGGACCACCTAATTCATGGCGCTTATAAATTCTTGTTGATTAGATTCTTACAAGATTCCTTTTGTAGACGTCATGCCCTGGAAAAACCAAAACAAGTAGACATGGAGACCAGCGCAGGTCTTAATTTTGAAACCCAACAAGTAGTTTTGGGCCTAGCCGACATGAGCTCAAGCTCAACTATACACTACTATATATCAACTTGAAAAGATATTCTTGGTGGACCGTTGAGTTGAGGTAAGCTTATTCTTCATCGTGATCACCAATATGTGTGTATATATTTATATAATAATAAGAGGCATATTCCACGACCAGACATAAAACATTTTGTTATGGACTAGGGTGACAGAATAGATATGCATGTCCCATGACCTGCCAAGGAAAGTTTCAAATTCAAATATTTAATGGAAATAATAAAAGATTCATGTTCATTCATATCCAGGAAATGATTGGGAATTAGGTGAGCTAGTAAGAAAGACGACCATGTCTAAGATGTCAACCATATAATGCAACCATGGGCGTGCACGCAACTAATTATTATGATCAAGCAAGTCATCATCAACTTTATATATATAATTTCTTCATAATTATTGTGCAGCAGAGACAAGACAAACTCGAGATATCACTTGGAATTTGGTTTAGAACAAAAATGAGTTTTCAAAACTATTTGGATTGGGAACAGAGGGCTAAGAAGCTCTTGATGAGTTTGACTAGCTTTCTAAAACAACCTTTCCACACTCTCACAATCACCCTTCTCAGTCTATTGCTTCCCCTCTCATTCCTCCTCCTAGCCAGGCTTTCTTGCGCTAACTATCTCTTAAACTTAAGCTTCACCCCTCTTCATCCTGATCCTAATTATAACACCACCACTACTAGTAGTACTCTATTTTCTCTGCTCCGCTACGCCACCCCTTCTCTTCTCTACTTTCTTGTTTCCATTGTCAGCACAGCCGCTTTCATCCATTGCCTAACAGGTAAAATTACCATCATAACCGAGTTCCCAACTCCCATTTTCCGTCCCCGTTTGTACACTGCCTGGATTTTCCTATGCACATTACAAGTCTGCGTTGGTTTGGGAATCGAAGGGAGCATAGCCGCGGGGATCAATGGCGCTACTTTAGGCGGCGTTGATGAGAGAATATGTCTGCTGAGCAGAGCAATATTTTTCCTGGGGTTGCATGAGACCATGCTCCATTGGTGCAGAGTTGTGGTGAAGCCGGTGGTGGACGACACGGTTTTTGGTGCAGCTAGAGGGGAAAAATGGGTTGAGAGGGTGGCAGTGGCTGCCAGCTTTGGTTGTATATGGTGGTGGAGGTTGAGGGACGAGGTGGAGTCTTTGGTCGTTGTAGCTAAGGCCAAAAGAGAGCTGTCAATGGGCATAGGTGTGGCTGACTTTGTTGGTTGGTGGTTATATTACCTCATTGTAACTATTGGAATGGTTAGAGTGGTGAAGGGTGTTATGTGGCTTTCCATGGTTTTGTTATGTAGGAGGAGATCAGGAGGAGGCAATTTTGCTAACAGTTGCGCAGAAGATCATGATCTTCAAGACAACAAGGTCTAAATCTCATAATCTGATTGGATCGATCGATTGATTATTTTGAGCACAGAAATATTCCCTCTTCTTTTCTTTCACACAGGAATTCGTAATTGTTCCAAACTTGTACTTTCTTTTTTCTTTTGTTTGTTTTTGTTTTTGTTTTTGTTTTTGTTTTTGGACAACAACTGTATCCTAATATTTTTTTAATTGTATGACTCTCGGGACCGGCAGATGTGCATTTTTTGTATATAGATTATGAACATGTCAAAATCAATCGTGAACGTCAACTAATAAGCCAAACACACACACCCTGTACATGTACATAAAAAGAGGCAAAACAAAGCTGAAAACTACACTATACCTTATGTTTATCAAAGCTGTAGATGTTACCGCAAAGGCACAAAATACCACTCAAATGTATGATTTAAAAAGATAAAAGTTTTTAGTTATCTTCTTCAATTGACAAGGTTACAGATGGTAATCTGATAATAAGAGAGTTACAGAGGGACTAATTACTGCTGTAGTCTTGTAGTTTCCTCATCAACCCTTTTATTTGTCTTCTCTCTGAGTTTGTCATTTTATTCTCCGTACTCATCCGGGGCAGTCACATCTTCTGGGTAGAATAATTTCATATCCCAATCTTGTTTGGCTAATCAACCTTGTAACTTTTGAGTAGAATAATTTCATAAAATGTGCTGCTTGGCAGTGATATGTGCTTATTTATTTTTGTTCTTGCCTGCCTTTGTGGCAGAGTTTAGTTTAATATATCATATGAAGGGTTTGTAAGGGTCTTTGTTTGGACAAGTTTTTGGCATTTCATGGTTGCTGGCTTTGTTGACAATATCGGAATATCACTATCATAGTTGCAATCCTCGCCTTCTTTTATTAGTGAAGGGTGCAAGGGTGCTTCAGTTATCATGCCTGTGATCGTTGTTATCAACCAAAGATACAACTTGATATGCGTCGATATTAATCCAGTCCCATAATCCTATTGATGATCACTTGAGACTTGAGAATACTTTTTCCAAATTTGCTTCTGCATATATTCTTATTCTCTGCAGAATATGGCTAATGCATTCTTCCCCTTCACACCGTTTGATTTCGGTGTCCTAGGTGGATTGACTCCCCAGCTTGAAGATTATGAGAAAGATCAGGAAGTGGCCTTCAAAGTGAAACCAGGGCATTTGTTTGCCATAGAAGAATTGGGGTTGGGAGAGGTGGATAGTGCTCTTTCTTCTGAACATGGTTTCCATCAAGAAGACAGTAAGGCCAAGAAAGGAGGACTATCATCCCATTTCTCCAAAGATCCCAAGCCAACTTATGCACTTTCGGATAATTTCAACTTTGATATCGTTTCTTCTGAACATGGTTTCCACCAATCTAACAAGTCCGAGAAAGGACTAGCTCATTTGTTCAATGATCAAGACCACCGCCATTACCAACAACACCACCATTACCAGCAGCAACAACCCAAGTCAAATTTGGATAATTTCAACTTTGATTTTGCCTTCCCACCAGCACAACCAATCCAGGATGGCACTCACCAGCTTACATATAACCAATTCGGAGGCTCAGACATTGCAGAAACCAACAAACACTTGCCCCATCAATCTTCCTTAGCAGTATTGGAGCTCCTCAACAGCTATGGTAGCGCGTTCAAGAAGTTGAGGGGAGAAAGAACAAGCAGCGACACAGGAAATGAAGCTGAAGCCTCCTCCTATGTGGGACAGCAAAAATTGTCAACCGAAGAGATCATGAGGGTTGCTGGAGCAAGGTATGTGCAATTCTCTAATCAGGGGTATGGTGACTTTTACCCTCTGCACCCTTTTGGCTACGCTCTTACGGGTCTGTCCGAAGAAGAAACAAAGGATGCGGAACTTGCTCACATACTTTTAGCTGCAGCAGAGAAGGTAGGCTACCAACAATTTGAACGCGCAAACAGACTGCTTCTTCGTTGTGAATGGATTGCATCCTTCAAAGGCAACCCTATTCAGAGGGTCGTCTTCTACTTTGCTGAGGCACTTCGGGAGAGGATCGAAAGAGAAACAGGAAGCATCCCATCTAAGGCAGAAGAAATGTCTATATCTGGTCATGGACTGAGCACAAACCTCACATACCTTGCATACTACCAAGAAGTCCCTTTCCATTCCGTAATGCAGTTCACTGGGATCCAAGCCATAATCGAAAGTGTTGCCTTGGGGAGTAAGGTTCATTTGATAGATCTCGAGATCAGGAGTGGAGTGCAATGGACTGGGCTGATGGAATCACTTGCAGAACGAGAGGAATGTCCAGTTGAGCTACTCACAATAACTGCTGTGGGAGTAGCGGGCAAGCAGAAGATAGAGGAGACAGGAAAAAGGCTAACAAGCGTTGCCGAGTCCCTGAACATACCCTTTCAGTTTAAGGCAGTGATTATTTCAGCCATGGAAGATATCAAAGACCAACTGTTTGATGTTGAAGATGATGAAGCCGTGGCTGTATACGCACCGTTAATACTGAGGACAATGATTTCAAGGCCTAGTTGCTTGGAAAATTTGATGAGGGTGATGAGAAATCTCACCCCTTGTATAATGGTGGTGATTGAAGTGGAAGCTAACCACAACTCACCGTCATTTGTGAACCGCTTCATCGATGCGCTGTTTTATTACAGTGCGTTTTTTGACTGCCTTGAGACTTGCATGAAACAGGAGGAGTATAGAATGCTGACGGAAGACTTGCTCCGGGAGGGCATCCGAAACATTGTAGCGGCAGAGGGGAGTGAAAGGGTTGCTCGAAGTGTGAAAATGGATGTGTGGAGAGCCTTCTTTGCAAGGTTCGGAATGGTGGAAATGAACTTTAGTAATGCATCTTTGTATCAAGCTAGTTTAGTGGCTAAAAGGTTTGGTTGCCCTTCTTGCACACTTGATAGGAATGGCAAATGTCTCATTGTTGGGTGGAAGGGAACCCCAATTCATTCCGTTTCAGCTTGGAAGTTCCGTTGAGAATTGAGACAGATAGATAGATTTTTCAGTGTCTTCAAAACCATATGTAATATATGCTCTTGCTGAATAATGAAAGCAAAAAACTTTTCATCCTTCCACAGCAACATCATATGACATGTAAATAACGTCTCCGCTCTTTTCAAGTATCATTCTGAATTGATCTTATACTTGTACCCAAAACAACCTCACACAATATCATCATCAACATAGAAATATGAGAATCAAACTCCCACCCGTACCAGTTCTGAATTTTTCCTCAGTGTTTGAATTGAAACTTTCCAAATTTAGAGAGAGAGAATGAGTGCTTAAAGTCCTTTGTGGTTTGTGTTCCTAGGTAAGAAAATGGAAGAGCAAACGGTCTAGAGTTATTTTTTCTCCGATCTGTAGGCCGAGTCATAAAATAATATTTCCTCCGATATGCAGCCCACATCCTCCGACATGGAGGCCATGCAATCGAGTAAATCTTATGCTAATAGCTTCATTAATCCAAACTTTACAATATAAATAAGGACATTGTTGATGCTTCATAGATGTACAAGATTAATAAATGAATACATAAAATTATAATACGAGTGAATTGATAATTTTATATGACGGTATCCCGATTATATAAAAAAAATCTCCCTATGATTGTAGAACTTTCACTAGGGTCAAAATTAGAAGACAAAGAACATTATATATAACCGACACATATATAATAACCGTCCTTCCGACGTGTAGGCGTGTAGGCCACGTCACTAATCGTTGGGCACGTAGGCCACGTCACCAATCCTTACACGTGTCACTCCCGAAAAGGTTTATTTCCTCCGTTTCTCACTCTTCCTTGGTTGAGCGCACAGACACGGCAGATGAGCAAAACAGGGATGGTGTCCAAAGCTACGGACTCTGCAACTAAACTCAGAGTCAGTATCTCAAAACTTGACCTCTCGATTCTTGAATTCGTTATTTCTTCTCGCGATTTTGGCTCGTGTTTGCTTTTTAAATAAAAATTTCGATGCTTTTCATCATAATTGGAATTGAGATGATCAAACAGGGATGAGAATTTATCTTTGGATTTTCAAATTGCAGTTTGGATATGAAAGAAATGAAATTTTTGAATTTAATTAGTTAGAAGTTAAAACTCATAGCTTGTTGTAGTCACGGAGAAATATTTATAGAGAAATACCTGTGGTTCTACTATTAATCTGCAGCCAAACAGGTAAACAAAATCTTATTATGTTTGATATGAAATTCACGAATGTATATGCACTCTGTGGTTTACGTGGGCAGAAATCACATGGAGAAGAGCCTAGTGATGGTGTTGGAAACTTGGAACATAAGATGCATCAGCTTAAGAAGCAAATTCAAGCAGAGAGAATGGTTTCAGTAAAAGTGAGTTTTCGCATATATATATATATATATATATATATATATATATAATATGCACTATATGAGCGATAACGATGAACGATGGTAGGCAATGCGCAATTGACTCCTTCCTCGTGCTTATACTTTACCCAGGAAAAAGTTGAGAAGAACAGGGAGAAGCTAGGAGGTTACATTTCGCAAATTATATCAGCAACATCAAGAGCGACTTCTACACTCTCAGAGAAAAATGGGAGCTTTAAATTGTTTCCTTCAAGAATTGAACAGCCTCTCTGCAAGTTCAGTGGATTTGCTCACGGATATGGTGATAAAGACTATATTAACAATCAAGAGGTGGTATTCTCATCAAGTACCAAGCTTCCATCTGCTGAAAATTTACCACCTTATACAACTTGGATATTCTTGGACAGGTTTGATATTCGTTTCTTTAAATCCTTTATGAGATTATGAAAAGAACGGTAGTTTTTTATTTTATAAATTTTATATATCTTTAATCTGTGCAATCCTTTTGTTTTTAATGTGAAAATGTTGTTGTTGTGTTTCTCCTATCTCAAATTTGTCTTTCACAGCACAGAAATCAGAGAATGGCTGACGACCAATCAGTAGTTGGGAGGAGACGCATTTACTACGATAAAGATGGCACTGATGGCAGTGAAGCTCTTGTCTGCAGTGACACTGACGAAGAGATAGCAGAACCCGAAGAAGTGAAACATGAATTTACTGCAGGCGAAGATCGAATTATGTCGTAAGTTTTAAATGAGATATAGACATTTA